CAAATAAGCATTTAGCCTTAAGATAAAAATATAGACAGTGGGAAAAATTGCCAATAAGTAAAAAAAGAAAAAGCTTACTTATATTTAAAAATATATATTTTTTTACTACACTTACTTAAACAGGCGTCAGCTCTCTCCAATATTTTTTTACCCTTTTTCATCGTCCCAAATAGAAAAATTCCATGGCAATTTGCGCCAAAACTTGGGTACATATAAGCATTTTTGTTTATTTTCTTTTAAAAACTCTGTCTTTATTTACTCTCCTCATTGCTCTTTTTGTGCTGTTTTAGCGTGCCATTTGCTCGTCATTACATCTTATAATTATTGAAAGAAAGAATAAATATATTTTTTTTCTTGCCAAGAGCTTAAAAATAAATTTTTTAAATATTTTTTTTAAATTTAATTTATTGAGTAAACTTGTACTTATGCATATCAATTATTAATATAACATTTTAAAATTTAAATTATTTATTTTTTAATTAGAGTCATTAATATTTTTAACATCCTAGCAATAATTAAAAATTTATCCTTTTTAACTACAATTAATATATATACAATTACTATAATATACCTATAATGTATTTTCCGGAAGCCTTCCGGAAAGGGGCGTAATTAAACTTTATTAAACTTAAATAAACTTGAATTTATCTAAAAACTTTTCTGCTTCTTCCAACTTTAATAAGCAGCATTTTTTAACATCATAGAACATAGTTTAGCTTTATGGCCTCAACAAAGGAACAAAGGGGAGGGGAACAATGGGTGGCACCTAATACACAACAGGTTAATTAAAAGATGTCTTTAAGGATTTTTTTAAATTTGTCACTTATAGGATGTACCACAATCTGCAGATTATGAAAGTTTAGGAACTTTTTTTGGGTAATTTTTTAAAAATAAATACGAAATATTCTTTAAATTTTTGTTTAGTTATGCACTAGTAGTCTTGTCTTGGTTTTTAATTATCATTACCTTTCCCTTTTCTATGTAGGTTTATTTGAAATTTTTAAAAATTAAGAAAATTTAAAGGTGTGTGTGTCTAAAAGTTATTAAAGAATATGAGGTATTTTAATAATAAATTAATTTAATTTTATTTAAATTTAAAGAGGGTAGTAATCTTCCGAATTGGTAGACTTATTTTTGGTGGAGCTCGTGGTCCGGGAATGATATTTGTGGTAAATTATTAAAAAATAGACTTTAAATTAAACAGCGATTAATTAGCTAAACTTAACCTTAAACTTAAATAAACTAAATTTAAATAAACTTGAAAATTTAAGTTAATAAACTTAAAAATAAATAAACTTGAATTTAAACTTAAGTTTCTGACTAAACTTAAGAATTTAAATTTTAATAAACTTGAATTTTAAGTTGATTTTAATTTCAAGTTTATTTAACAAACTTAAGTTTATAAACTTTAATAAACTTAACTTAACTTAATAACTCTAATAAACTTAAGTCTATAAACTTGAAAATAAATAAACTTGAATTAAATAAATGCTTATAGACTTAACTATTAAGATAAGAACTAATGTATTTTTATATCAGATTCCTTGTATTGACACTTATCGCAAAATTGACCTCAGGTAATTTTAAAAATACTATATAATTAAAATTAAATTTAATATTTTTCCTTAAAGGGTGGTATCATATGCTGTACCTCCTCAAGAAATTCTCTCAAAAGATTCTGTAACTGTTAGGTAAATACTTAAATTAACCTGACTTTTATAATTTGTTAAATTTAGTGTTGATGCTGTTGTTTATTTTAGAACTTCTGATCCTATTGCTAGTGTAGGTTTTATTAAAAATATTAAAACTTGAGTTTATTTATTCAAAACTAGCAAACTTAAGTTCATAAACTTTATTATTCTTAAAACTTGTTCCTTAAAACTTGACTTAAGCTTGTTCTTAAAAGAATGTTTTATTTTTATTAAAACTTGGATTTCTTAAAACTTGTTTTTGCAGCTTAAAAACATTTCAAGTTCAATCTCAAATTCCAAGTTTATTTATTCAAAACTTTATCAAACTTAAGTTCATAAACTTTATTAATATTAAAACTTGTTTTATTTTTAAAACTTGTTTATTAAAACTTGACTTAAGCTTGTTCTTAAAATAATGTTTTATTTTTATCAAAACTTGAATTTCTTAAAACTTGTTTTTGCAGCCTAAAAACATTTCAAGTTCAAGTTTAATTTATTTTTATTTAAAGGTAAACAATGTTGACGATGCAATATATTCAACAAAATTACTAGCCCAAACAACCCTAAGAAATGCTTTGGGTATGAAAACATTAACAGAAATGTTGACAGAACGTGAAGCTATTGCACAACTTTGTGAAACTATTTTAGACGAAGGGACTGAGCATTGGGGTGTTAAAGTAGATTTTTGAATAAATTTAAAAAATAAATAAAAATATTTTTAAAGGTAGAACGTGTTGAGGTTAAAGATATTCGTTTACCTCAACAATTAACTAGAGCTATGGTAAGGGAAAATTCTTGAAAAATTTCCAAAAAGCCTAATCATCTTTAACACTTTTAGGCTGCTGAAGCAGAAGCTGCGAGAGAAGCAAGAGCCAAAGTGGTTGCTGCTGAGGGAGAACAAAAAGTAAATTGAAGAAATATTTTAAATAAGCAGAATTTAATATTCTTGCAAGAATAGAACTTTCCTGAATTTATCATTTAATATTCCGGAAATATCAATAAATAAAATTCCGGAAAGTTATTTTCAGACCATTTCCGGAAAAACAAAATAATTATTAAACTTTTCCGGAAGCACTTATTTAATTCTGGTTTCTTCCGGAATATATTTATATTAATTCCGGAAAGTTTTATATTTTCTATATAAAACAAAAAAAAATTATTTTATAGGCATCAAGAGCATTAAAAGAAGCAGCCGATGTAATTCAAGCAAATCCAGTAGCTTTACAATTACGTCATTTACAAGCTTTGAGTAGTATTGCGTTAGTTTTTATATTATTACAAGAAAATAAATATTTTTTAATTTTTCAGAGCAGAACATAATTCAACAATTGTCTTTCCAGTACCTGTAGAAATGTTTGGTAATTTAAAAATCGATTTTTAAAAATCAAGAAAAATTAATTTTAAGGAGCATTTATGAGTAAAAAGGATGAGTAATAAAAAAAAAGAATAATTAATAATTAATTAGAAAAATTAACTTTAATAAATAAATAAATAATAATTTTTTAAAAATAATTTTAATTAAATAGAAAATTCACTAAAATGTGTACATTTTTTCCCTGTCTTTTTTAATAAAATATTAAAAATTTTCTTTATCCGGAAACAAGTTTTCCGGATGACTTTAGAATTAAATATTTTTTCCGGAAAAGTTTTTTTAAACTTAAGTTTATAAACTTGAAGATTTTGTATTTCCGGAAATGTTTCAAAAGTAAACCTTTCCGGAAACTTAAGTTTTTATTTTAATAAAAATTAGGAATTTAATAAGCTTGAAAACTTAAGAGTTTAAACTTGAATAAACTTAAGTCTATAAACTTGAAAATAAATAAGCAACCTTAAACTTAAGTTTTGCTTATATTTTTTAATAATTTGGACAATTCAGAGAATTATCAGGTATGGGTCCATAAGGTTATTTTGGAAAGCTTTAATTATATTAGGTATTTTTATAAAAATAATTCCTTTAACCTAACAACTTTTTTAAGAATTTACCTAATTCATAAATCCCCTATTAAAATTATGTCATTTTTCTTTACTAATTTTTTCTGATTTCTTTGTTTTTTTGATATAGCTATTTAATTTTTATTTTTAATATATATTTATTTTTTGGACCCTTTTTAGTTCTGTTTTAATATTTTATTCTCGTCCATCCCCTTCCATTTTTATTCAACGTTTTGGTGCCAGCCCAAGTCGGTCACTCGGTCCGGCTGGCACCAGGCTTTGGCCATTTTTACTGACACTACTTTTTTCTTCTCTCTTGTAGATACGTAAAAAGTGAGAAAAATGGAGAAAGAGAATAAAAGGGAGAAAAAAGGCCGGTGAGCGGGATAGAAAAAATATATATAAAATAAATTTTTGTGTTTGGTTATTTTAGTTTGTGCCAGCCGGTGCTGACCGTTGGTCACTCAACTTGTAGAAAAAAAGTAGGGGAAGAAAAAAAAGTAGGGAAGAAAAATAAATGGAAGAAGAAGAGAAGAACAACATATCAACCCAAAACAAAAAAATATCAAAAAAAAATAAAGAGAAGAAAAGGGCGGAGACAGCGGAGACATAAACACACAAAAATAACGGGGAGACTGCCCTTCTAAAAAAATTTTTTTTGATTTTATTTATTTTGTATATTTATTTTTTATATAGCTATTTGACCTAGTTTTGTGTATACTTTAATTTTTATGGCTTTAAATATTTTTCAGAATTTTTGGTAATTTATTTTAAAAATTAAAAAATAATTTTATAGGGTGTTTTAAATTATTAAGACACCTTTCTTAAATAGAAAAAAATTTTTTTTGAATTTTTAAAATTTTTTTTGAATTTTTTAAGTGTCCAATTTAACTCTGAACCTCACCAGTATTTTTTCCAAAATTTTTAAATTTATTTAAAAATTAAAAAAATAATTTTATAAGGTATTCTAGATTAATAAAAGACACCTTTCTTAATTAGGAAAAAAAATTTTTTTAATTAAAAAAAATTTTTTTAGAATTTTTTTTAATTTTGAAAAATTTTTTTTAAATGTCCAAGTTAACACTGAACGTCACACTGAATAAATAGAAATAAAATAGGGAATTTATTTTATTTAAAAATTCCTCTCAAAATTTATTTTGAACTCTTCCAAGTTGCTTGTCAGAAAGCTTTTTTGGACTGTCCATTTAATAAAAAAATTTTTCAAAAATTTTTTAAATATTTTTTTTTCATTATTTTTTTAATTCCATTTTACCCACAAATCCACTCTCTCTCTTTTCTCTCCCTTTTATTTTTAAAAACATTTATTCTCTCTCCCTCTCTTTTTCAGTGTTCGTCGGCGGCTACTCGTGCCAGCCGATGAATGAACATTGTTATATAGTAGTAGCTCTGGCGCATCTTTTTTCCTTCGTTTTTTCTTCTTTATTTTTTTTATTTTTCTTCATCTTCCTCTTCTTTTTCTTCTTTTTTTTCTTCCATTTTTATCTTCTTTTAATATATTTATTTATTTAGTTCTCGACCTATTAGTTAGCCCTTTTTTGCATTTTTGTCTATTTTCTTTCTTTTTTAATATTCTTTTTTATTCTTTATAAATAAAAGAAGGGAGAGTGGACACTCGGCTGCCCCCAATATTTTTATTTACAATAAAATAAAAGAAAAAAAGATTTAAAAAGGGTAAGACGAGGACTGTCAAATTGAGGGAGGTATAAGCGCGTGCTTATAAAAAATTCAAAAGGGTACCTAGAAACGTGAAATTTTGCATAGAAATGTTTAATAGTGTTGGTTAGCTTATGTAAAAATTTCAGAATTTTTGGTCCAATATTTGTTGAGTTCTGGTCAAAAATGTTGAATTTTTGTAGAAAAATGTCAATTTTTCCTAGTTTTTCGACCATAACTTTTGTCACAGTAATCCAAAAATTCTGAAATTTTTCAGAATCATAAATAATACTATCTAAAAGTCTCACAAAAAATTTGGTGTCAATAGGTCCACTTTTGACTATTTTATGAACCCTCAAATAACGTTGACAACGCTAAAACGACTGGTCAATTCCCTCTTGTTTTTATTTTATTTATTTTTGTTCCATTTTTTTCTTTTCTCTATTTTTATTTTATTTGATTGTAAATCGAGAGCTGTGCTCATCTTTATTTTTATTTTTTATTTTTTCAATGCGCAAAGCCGCGAAAAATGGAAAAATCCCAAAAACGGCTTTTGTGTGCAGTGATTTTTAGTGGTTGAATGAATAAATAAATGTATTTTTTTGTTTATTATTTTCTTTTATTTTTAGCTGACCGAAAGAGAGATTTTTAAAAAAATAAATACAAACATATAGCATGTATAAGTTGATTGACCTCTTCCCTTTTTTTATTTTTTTACTTTCCCTTCCATTAAAAATATTTTTTTTCGAATTTTTATCCTTAATTCTACTAAAAATTAAATTTTATTTAAATTTAAAATTAAAAAAAATTTTAATAAAAATAAAATAAAAATACCTAAACTGGCTGTCACTAACTGACTCACACACTTTCTCTCTCTCTCCTTCCCCTAACACAAAGAAATGACCTACTGCTATTTTTATGAGAGAAACACAATGAGAGAAAATAAATAAAGAATACAAGAAATACAAATCAGAAATACAACTTGAAATTCTGATATTTATTTGAAAATACAAAAATCAGAATTACAACTTTGGTAAAATACAAGGTTTGTATTTTTCTTCTTCAAGTTTGTATTTTTTCAAGTTTTAATTAATTCTGATTTTTGTATTTTCAGGTATTTTAAAATCAGAATTTCATAAGCTTCTGATTTGTATTTTTAAGAAAGAAAATCAGAATTGTATTTTTTTGTATTTTTCCCAAGTTGTAATTCTGATTTTTGTATTTTCGGTTAATTTTTATCAGAATTTCAAGTTTAATTTTTTAAGTTCAAAGTTTTAAGATTCTGATTTGTATTTTTAGAGAAATCAGAATTGTATTTTCTTGTATTTTTCTCCAGGTTTTAATTCTGATTTTTTATAGTATAAAATGAGAATATTTAAATAAACATTTAAATAAAAATTAATTATTTAAAAATGGCTGCTTCTTCTTCTGGTTGTTGTTCATCATCATCAAATTGTTCTTTATCAGAATTTAATTTAAATTTAAAAAATAATGAAAATAATTGTTCAAATGAAGAAGAAAAAATAAATAAAGAAGAAAATAAAATTGAGGAGGAAGAAGAAGAAGAAATTGAAGAAGAAGAATATTTGGAGGAAGAAGAGGAAGGCGAAATATTATTAAAAAATAATTTAAACAATTCAAAACAACCAATAGAAAAAAGACATAAATGTGACCAATGTGGAAAAAGATTTCCTTATTTTTCTATTTTGGAGGCACATAAACGGTGCCATACAGGAGAGAAACCGTTTCCTTGTCATTTTTGTGATAAAAGGTATTTTTGGATTTAGTGGATATTAAGGGGGTTTGAGGGGGATTTTGGAAGATTTTCTGGATTTTTTGAAAAAATTTTCTTTTCTCTCAAGTTTTGCCCAAAAAGCAACATTACAAGTCCATGAAAGAACACACACAGGAGAACGCCCATACAAATGCAAATTTTGTGAAAAAACTTTTGCCCAATACGGAACTAAAACTGTCCATGAAAAATCAGCACATTTAGGAATTCGAAATTATTTATGTCCTTATTGCGATAAAAACCTTTCTTCCCCTTCTGCTTTGTATACACACAAAAAGACGCATGGAGAAAAGGCTTTTAAGGTAAAAAATAAACTTGAAATAAATCAGAATTTATTTATACAGAAACAGGCGGAATTTATTTTAATTAAACTTTTTAAGCTTGAACTTAAAAACTTTAATTATTAAAACTTGAATTAATTCTGATTTTTAAATTTTGAGTTTGAACTTAAAAACTTTGTTTTAATTAAACTTGAATTATTTAAAAATAAACTTGTTCTGATTCTATTTTAAAAAATAAACTTGAATTTTATTTAAACAAACTTTTTCAGAATATTTTATTTTTAAATAAACTTGAATTTCAGAATTATTATTTTAAATTAATTTTTAAGTGTCCTGGATGCCCCAAAACCTTTACATTAAAAAATTATTTAAAATTACATATTCGACAAGTCCACGAACAAACAGAAAGAAAACATTCTTGTAAATATTGTGACAAATCTTTCGCTTATGCTGGGAGTTTACAAGTAAATTTTAAATTTAAAAAAAATTAAATTTATTTTTAAAAATTAGGTACATTTAAGAACACATACAGGAGAAAGACCTTTTCGATGTAAATTTTGCCCCAAAGCTTTTGCCAGCCAAGGAAATTTACAAAGTCATGAAAGAACGCATACAGGAGAAAGGCCTTATTTGTGTATTGAATGTGGACGTTCTTTTATACAGGTAAAAATTTCAGAATTTTAAATAAACTTTTCAGAATTTTAAAATAAACTTGTTCTGATATTTAAATAAACTTGAATTAATTAAATAAACTTGTTCTGGTTTTATTTAAAAAATAAACTTGTTCTGGTTTTATTTAAAAAATAAACTTGTTCTGGTTTTATTTAAAAAATAAACTTGTTCTGGTTTTATTTAAAAAATAAACTTGTTCTGGTTTTATTTAAAAAATAAACTTGTTCTGATATTTAAATAAACTTGAATTAATTTCAGAAATCACAACTTACTGCTCATGAGAGCACTCATGCCAGTAGGAGATCAAGTAGCAGTGGAAGCAGTTGCAGCATTGCTAGAAAGGTCAGAAAAACAGAAAATTCTGCCGATTGGAATTCAGAACAGAATGATCAGAAAAATGTAATACTATTAATAATAAAATAGATAATTGAATAAATAAACTTGAATTATTTAAATAAACTTGTTCTGGTTTTTAATAAACTTATAAACTTAAAACAAGTTTATTTTTTTAAGTTTATTTTATTTATTAAGTTTTTAAGCTCAAGTTTTTAAGTTTAATTTTTTCAAGCATGTTTTTCAAGTTTTCAAGTTTATTTAAGTCTGCTTAAGTTTATTTTTATAAGGCTTATTTATTTCAAGTTTAATTAAATTTTATTTTAGACTGAATGGACAGAAGAGAAAAATGTAGAACCTGTTGTTCTACATGTTTTACAACCTCTTCGAGTAAAACACGAAGAAGCTCCTCAATCGTCTTCAACAGACAATAATTTTTCTTCCTCATCCTCCTCTACTTGTTCAACATTTATTAAATCCCCTCAAATAATTAACAACAATTTTTCTGAAATTGTCCATTGTGCTTCAGCACCCCCACAACCCTCTACTAATTTAATTTCTACAACAACAAATAATGATAACAATAATATTAATTCTGTTAGAAAACAATCCTTTGGAGGAAATGGAGATTTTGTTTGTAAATTTTGTGGTAAACATTATGCTTATGCTAGTTCGTTATATGTTCATACAAGACTACACACTGGAGAGAGACCTTTTCGGTAATAAAATCAGAATTTTTTAGAATATTAAATCAGAATTAAAAAGTTTATAATAAATACAACTTAATTCTGGTTTTCACTAAAAATACAAATCAGAATTACAACTTGAAATTCTGATATTAAATTAAACTTGGTAATTCAAGTTTACTAATTTAAACTCAAGTTTTCAAGTTTAAAGTTTACTCTATTCAAGTTTAAGTTTTTAATTCAAGTTTATTATTTTAATCAAGTTTATTAAATTCAAGTTTAGTAATTTCAATCAGAAATACAACTTGAAGAAATAAACTTGGAATTCTGATCGACTTTAAAAATACAAAAAGCAGAATTTTATTATTTTTATTAAAATACACCTGTCCCCTATTAAAGTTGTAATTACTGCGACAAGGCTTTTACCAATCAAGGAAATATGCAAGTACATCTCCGCGTACATACTGGCGAGAGACCGTTTAAATGCGATGGGTGTGGAAAGAGTTATGCCCAAAATATTGGATTAAAAATACATCAAGAACAATGCCAAGTCCATTAAATTCTGATTTTATAGCCTAAAAATTATTTAAATTTTCAGTCTTGGTTAAATTTCCAAAATAATGGAATTAATGGTAACCATCAAGAACATAATAAAACAATAAATAATAATTACAATAATACCTCAACATCTTCAACTTATTTAAATGGAAAACCAGAACAATTGGTTAATAATACGGCTAATTCTGATTTTTGTAGCCATTCAAATAATTACCCTATTTATCCTTTTATTCAAGCTCATCAGAATGGTAGGCGATTAATTCAAGTTTATTTTTGTATTAGTTCATATTTTCTAAGTTTAGTTTCTGATATTTCAAGTTAATTTTTACATTTCAAGTTTATTTTTTTAAGTTTATTTTCTGTATTCCAAGTTTATATTCCTATGGCCCAAGTTTATTTACAGATATTTTTAAGTTTATTTTTATACCCTAAGTTTATTTTTTGTATTTCGTTTATTTTGCATTCAAAGTTTATTTTTATATTTAAAGCTTATTTTCTGATTTTTTAAGTTTATTTTTTTAAGTTTATTTTCTGATATTTCAAGTTTATATTTCTATAGCCCAAGTTTATTTTTTATATTTCAAGTTTATTTTTGTGTTTTAATTTTATTTTTCTGTTTCAAGTTTATCTTCTGATATTTACAGGAGAAACACCAACTATTCACCAGCAACAAATTAACGCTGCAGCTTTATTACTCGAACAACAGCAACAACAACAACAAATGCAAGCTATACGTGCATTGCTAGATCTCTCATCATCAACCTCCCACCAACAACAATTAAATAATAATTTATTAATACACCAATCACCTCCACCAACATTAATTCCTTTCCAAAATAACCAAGAAATCATGATTAATTCTTCAAATTTAATTCAAAATCAACCATTACCACTTCACCAACAACTTATTCAACAAGTAAATTATTTTTTAAAAATTATTTTTAAATTTTTTTCCAATCAAAAGTTGTTGTCAGCCCCGGTTCCAATAGAGCAAAGTCTACCTCTAGTCCAACAATTGCTTCAACAATTTGGGCCGCTGGAAGAACAAAAATTAAGTGAAGCAATAGCTGCAATACTTGTTGGACCTTCATCTACTACTACATCCTCTCAATATTGCAATAGCTAATTAAATAATTTGAGGATCTTCAAAAAATTGAAAAAAAAAGTTTTACCCAATTTTCTAGTCATTTCCTAATATTTTTGATTTTTACGCATCAAAAAAAGAACCTGAATCTTATGACTATTTATGTATGTCTTTCATATTTCTTTTAAAAAATACAAACTTTAATTAATATATCTATGAAATTCTGATTTTCAAGTTTATTTTCTGATATTTTCAAGTTTGTTATTGTACTCCAAGTTTATTTTCTGATTTTTCATGTTTATTTAATCAGAATTAATCTCTAATCAGAATTTTAGATACCAATAAAATAAACTTTTACAAATTCTGATTTTTCCTTTAAAAAATACAAATCAGAATTACAACTTGGAAAAACACAAACTTTAAATTAAACTTGAAATTCTGATAGGGAAATTACAAGAAATAAAAATCAGAATTAAACTTGGGAAAAACACAAACTTGAAATTCTGATAATAAATTAACTTAAAAATACAAAAATCAGAATTTATTTTATTCTTATTTAAATACACACCTATAATTGTTTTAATTTTAATTATTATTGCTCTTTCAGCATACCCTTCCGGTATTTTTTTGTCTTTCAATTTTTTTATTTTTTAAATTAAATTTATTTTTAAATTTAATAAAATGTTTAAATTTTAATTTTTAATAAAAAAAAAATTTTTAAATTTTTTGTCTAACAATATTTGCCTGTCCCCCACCAGAATTTGTCGTAGATTGACACTTTCTCCCAAATTGTCTAAACATCATTTGACTTTTCAAATGGGATGAAGGCAATCCTCCACCACTTGCAGAATTACCCCCTCCTGCAGAAACATTATTTTGAGTATTTTTTGTTGTTGCTGATGCTCCCCCGCCTCCACTCATTAATAATGATTCGTCTGGTCGGGCACTTCTCATGCTCATTCGGCTAGCAGAAGAAAATTTTTTCTGCTGAAAAAATAAATTTTTCATAAAATCAGAATTAATTTTAAAAAATCAGAATTAGAAATTCAGAAAAATCAGAAGCAGAAGAAAGATCAGAGCAGAAAATCAGAATAAAAAATCAGACAAATCAGAATTATTAAAAATAAAAATCAGAATCAGAAATATAGAAAAATCAGAAGCAGAACAGAAAATCAGAATAAAAAATTAAAAAATCAGAATAAAAAAATCAGAATAATCAGAATATAAAATCAGAACGAATCAGAATTATTGAAAAATAAAAATCAGAATTAATTTTAAAAAATCAGAATTAGAGATTCAGAGAGGTCAGAAGCATAAGAAAAATCAGAATAGAAAATAAGAACAAATCAGAATTTAGAAAAAACACAAATTCACCTGTTGAGCTAAAGCCACACGTCTTCCAACTAAATGGGCTAATAACAGAGCAAATAGAGCCATTAAAACCAGAATTAAAGCTGAGAAAATAGCCCAGAGAGGAATACTATGTCCCTTCTTAACGGTTAATTCTGATTCTTCTTCTGATTTAATTTTTGTATTTTTTGTGTTTTCTGTGGGTTTTGGAGGGATTTCGTTATTAAATATTTGTTGTTTGGATATTAATAAGGATTTGAGTAAATAGTCTTTGAAATTTTTTTAATTAAAAATATTTAAAAAATAATTTAATTAAAAAACCATTCATAATTTCAAAAGGACTGCCTTTGCCATTTACTCTTTCCACTAATGAATAATCTCTCAAATTGGCCAAATTTCTTCTTTAAAAAAATTAAATTTAATTATTAATTTTGTAAATTTTGTGAGGGAGAAAACTCAATACAAAATCATGTTCTCGGAGTCACTATTAGTGTTTCATGTTTATAGAGGAGAATTGTCGTATGGCCTGAGGCCCTTCCCAGCAGAGGTCGGTCGGAAATGACGAAGGTGCCAAAAATCGGAACTGTCGGAAATCGGAAATGGCTCAAAAGTTGGGACTCAGAAATCAGTCTAAATTTTCGGAAATCGGAAATCACCGACCAATCTCTGCTTCCTAGGTAAACCGGTAACACATCCCTCACAATATTTCTCTATATTCTGGGTATTTTTGTTTTATGGCTGGGAGAACATAGAAGAGGAATACAATTTTAAATTTAAAAAGAAATAACCTACCTAAATATTCTGGCTATAAAAGGTTCTCTAGAATGTTTCTGGTTAACCCACCAACTGTCAACGTAGAGAATAAACTTGAGATATTAAAATAAAATTTAAAATTTAATTAAATTACAAGATCAGGATCACATCTTTCTCTCGTATCCACCCCAAACCCTGTTAATAGCCTGTCGAGTGAAAGCCGAGCAAATAGACCAGTTAACCGATTAAATTCATTTATTGTATTATTTAAATTTTTATTATTTTTTCTTTGATTTTTCGAATTATTTAAACAATTAAATAAACTAAAAATAAATTAATTTTGAATTTTTAATTAAAAACCTATTTCCATTAGCTGTAGGCACTAATAATCCAAAAACACGCAATTGCCCCATTTTTTTGTCTTTTTGTATGCATGGACGTAAAGGGCAAATACAACTTGTTAAATTATTAAATACTTGTGTTTTAAGTTGGCGGTCTGGATGAGAGAGAGAATTAATTAAAAATCAGAATTTAATTTTGTATTTTTTAAAAACAAACTGAAATACAAAAGAAATACAAATCAGAATTACCCAAAATACAACTACCTAAATTACAAACCAGAATTAAACCAGAATTAATAAACAGAAAAAAATCAGAATTAATAAACAAAAAATCAGAATTAACAAATCAGAATTACTAAAAAATACAACAGAAATACAAAATCATAATTATACTAAAAATACAAAAAATTGCAAATCAGAATTAACAAAAATACAAACCAGAATTAAACCAGAATTAATAAACAAAAAACCAGAATTAAAAAATCAGAATTAAACAAAATTAATTATCAGAATAAACCAGAATTTTAATTTTTAAACCAGAATTTAAAATATACAAATCAGAATTCTGAAAATATTAGTTCTGATTAATTATTATAGTTATAAATTTTGTAATTCTGGTTTAATTATCAGAATTTCACAATTGATAACCATAATTCTGAATTTATAAATCAGAGATAACAAAAATACAAATCAGAATTATAAACCAGAATTACATATTAGATAAATCACTCAATATTTTAACTTTAAACCAGAATTTAAAAACAGAAAAAATCAGAATAAAATCAGAACTAATAATTTTTAAAAATTAAAAACCAATTAATTCTGCTTCTGTTCTAGACAATATCCCACCGGGATCACAAATTAAAGGCACTTGATGGTATGGTAATTGACAAAAAGTTGCAAGTTCTAAAGGATTTGAAGATGGGAATTGACAAGGCAATAAATCACTTGGTGGGGAATTAAAAAGAGAAGAAAATTTTGGAAAAATAAAATTAAAAATTAAAAAAATTAAATTAAAATATTTATTATTTAATGCCATCCATCTAAAAAAACAAAGAAAAATTTTTTCCATTCTTAAAAAATAAAAAAAAATTTTCACATTTTTAAGAAATTCTTAAAAATTTTTTGAAAAATTTTTATAAGGAAAAAATTGATTAACAATTACATAAATAGAAAAAATAAAAACAGGCGGAATTATTAAATTAAAGAAACAATTGGAAAATTATTAAAACTTGAAGCAGGCGGAATTATTAAACAAGGCGGAATTATTAAGTGCTCTGCATATTATTAAGAGGCAATTTTTATTAAACTTGAGAACTAAAAAAATTTAAAAAAATAAAATGATGTAGAAAATAAAAAAATAATATAAAAGTGTTAAAGAAAAGCCAAAAATGCCGTCTCTTAAAAAACCTCTAGGGACAGTCTGCTTTTTAAAAGACGAACACCAACAAAGTTGGGAATAAAAAATTTTTTAAGGGATTTTAGTTGGAATAATAAAGGAAATGAATGAAAAATGAAAGAGGAAATTAAGTGGAGGAAAATTTGAATTTTTTTTAAATTGCATAATTTTGTGGAATTATGCAAATTTAAATTTAGCAAACTTTTAATATTTAACTTGTTTATGCACTAGAAATAAATAAAACTTGGAATAAAACCAGAATTTATTAAGGCAGAAACAGGCGGAATATATTAAGAAAATATTTTGAGTTTGAACTTGAAAACTTGAATTAATTCAGGTTTAATTAATTCAAGTTTAATATTTCAAGTTTTCAAGTTCAAGCTTAAATATTTTAATTAAATAATCCGCCTGTTTCTGCTTAAATAAATTCTGGTTTTATTTCAAGTTTTACTCGAATTAATTAAGCTTGAAAAAATTAAACTTGAATTAATTCTGATTTTAAACTTAACAACTTAATTTTGCCTTTAAAAGTCAAATGTTAAAGAAAAATGCCAACAGAAATTATTGAAAAGAAAAAATATAAAATGCATTGAAGTGTAGCTAAAAAATATTTTTTTATATTTATTTTGTTTTGCATGTATACTTAAATATTCACAAAAATTGAAAGCTAAAACTTTAAGGGAAGTAAAAATCAGAAAAAGAGGCTTTTTTGTGCCTATTTTGCTACATTACTTGCTAAAATCAAATTAAGAATAAACTTCGAAAAAAATTAAGAAAAAAATAAATATTATTATAAATTCAAAATTTAAATTAAAATATGTTTTATAAGTTTAACAAGTTCGACAGAAAACCAGAACATATCAGTTAGAAACAGGCGGAATTTATTAATAAAACAATTCAAGCTTGAACTTAAAAAGTTGAGAATTAATTAAACTTGAATTAATTCTTATTTTAAATTAAAAACTTAAAACTTAAGAAAACTTTGTAATTTTTTAAATATTTTTTACCAAGAATTTTTATTTTTATTTTTTCTTTATTTTCTTTTACTCTTGAATAATTTCCAGTTTGTCTTTTCATTCCTGTCTTTTTTTAACGATCAATATAATAAAAATAAAATATTTTTATTTATTATCAGTCATTAAATAAATTCTTTCGTTTAAGTTGATTTAATTTAAAAGAACCAATTAAAAAGAGTCGCGCAGAAATTTTATTCTGAAACTTAAAAACTTGAATTACTTAAGAAAACTTTTTAGACTTAAAAACAAACTTGAAAACTCAAATTAGTTTATTGAAGATTTTAAGACTTTAAAACGAACTTGAAAACTTGAGTTACTCAAAACTTTTTTTATTTTAAGATCAAACTTGGAACTTAAAAACTTTTATTAGTATTTAAGACAAACTTGAAAACTTGAATTATTTAAAACTTTTTTTTAATTAAGAACAAGCTTGAAAACTTAAATTTAGCAAAGAATTAATTATTAATTAAATTTCTCATTTTTATTCTGACCAAAAACTAAGTTAAATGTCCAAAAAAAAATTTTATAAAAAAATAAAAAAATTATTTTTCATGGTTCACCCAATTTATTTTTAATTTATTTTCCAATTAAAAATTAATTTTAAAAATGTTCATGTTTTTCTTCTTTTTAATCGATTTGATTGCTTTTTGGGCTCCAAAATCATGGCCAAATCACTCCACAAATTTTCTCTTTTTTCTTTCCAACTGTTATTGTTATTATAATACCTTTTTCTTTTTTTATGATTCATTTTTTTATTTTTATATAAATATTTTTGTCTGTTAAATTTTCCTTTTTTTTATTTTTTGATTAAATTTTGACGTTTTTATTTATCAAAATAAAAGCAGAAATTAATTGGATTTAATTTAAATATTTTTCTCTAAAACTAGTAAAACGTGGGGGGATAACAGATAAAGAATGAGAGAAATATGGGGATAATCGGGGTAATAAAATTAAAAGGAGGAGAAAGACCAATGAAGGGAGAACAAAGCGCGTTTTACGTAAAAGTGCCTTTCTATTAGAATATTTTAATTAAAAAATATTTTTTTAATTTTAGCTAACACTTGGGGAGTTTACTTATTTTAATTTAATTATTTTAATATTTTTTTAAATATTTTCAAATATTTTTTAAAATGGGTTGGACTAATTATTTGGTTAGTCCCCTTTTATGTTTAAATATTTAAATTTATTTAAAAAAATTTTTTGTTTAAAAATAAGACGCTGGTATAGTTTATGCGTTCGATGAAGGTCGTATAAGTCCAATGAAGCTGAAGTCAATGAGCCTTAATGAGTGCAATAAAGGTTTGTGTCTTTATAATAGATATCCGACTCGACTGAGTAAACTTTTTATTGGACTCTTAAATTTTTATTTGACTCTAAAAGCTTCATTGGACTCATAAACTAGACCAGATTCCAAATAATTTAATCTAAAAATATTTTTTAATAAAAAAATTAATTTTCCCCCTCAAGATTCCAATAATAAGCAGTTCAATTTTAATGTTTGCCTGTTGGTTAATTGGGCATTTACAATTATCAATGCTTTGGGTGTTTTTATTTATTGTTGTTTATATTGTTTGTATTTTTTATTTCTTTCAAAAAATCTCTTTTAAAGTTAAAAACACGTTCATGGATTAAACAGGAACAAAAAAGACTTTGTCTTCGAAATTATATACTTCAAGAGAGGGAAACTATTATTGCACAATTTAGTCAAACTACCAATGATCTGCCAGCTTGGGTTCAGTTTCCGGATATTGAAAGGATTGAATGGGTCAACCGAGTAAGTGAGTAGAATTAATATAATTATAGGAAAATATACTGGATATATCGGAAATATTTTAATAGAAGGATTTATTTTTCAATGGGTCTCAGGTTTCTACATAATTAGGGTTGCCGTTTTCGAGTCGGTCCGACCGAGTCTTTTTCTTGGGCCTCATTTTTTCGGACCGGCCCGACCGAGTCATTTTTTCGTGCCAAAATTCGATGCCCGACTTGATCTTTCAGACAGGGCCGGCAACTCTACTTCTAATAGATATACGCTTCTATTGCCTATAAGGCTTCTATTGGAGATGAGCTTCTATTGAGATATTTGCGATAATTTTTTATTTGGTTCAAAACTCATTAAGGTTCAATATCCCTTTGGTTCAATATTCATTTGGATCGTAAAAAAATTTTTTTTATAAAAATAGTCCCAAGGGGTATTGACCTACACGGACTAGAATTCTTTAAAAAAATTTTCCATAAAATTTCCAGATACTTCAACAACTATGGCCTTATATTGGAGAATATTCAAATATATTTTTAAAAGAATTTATAGAACCTCAAATACGTTTACAAATGCCTTCGCCTTTCAAATCGTTTAAATTTGTGTCGATTGATATGGGGGATATTCCCTTTAGAGTGGTATCTTTTTTTAAGTTTTTTCCTTAAAAAAATTCTTTCCAAGTCTGGATTAAAAGTTTATACAAACAATGTTGGAAGAGACAAGGTTATAATGGATATGGACCTTGTTTATGCTGGGGATGCCGAATTTACAGTTCAAGCTTGTGGCTTTAGAGGAGGGTTGAAACAAATTGTGGTAGGGTTTATTGTTGTTTGAGGCTCTCTCAACTTATTCCACTCTATTGGTTATCTTAGAAATGATATAGAGTGGATGGGATAAGTGAGCTAGTGTGAGGTAGCTGACGAGGGTCATATATGGAATAAATGACTGGGATAGCTGAAAGCGGGCGTAAGTGGCTTAGGTGACTGGGATAAGTAGGAATTTGTGCGCTAGGATCAAAGTGGTTATGATTGAAACTTATAATAGGCTGGGATAGGTGGGAATGAGAGGTTATGACTGAAAATCTGGGATAACTTGGAGGTAAGAGGAATTCGTTTAGCGGTATATGTTAGAGAGTTGACTCAAAATATTCTGACTAAGATTTTTTAATTTTTCAGTTATCTGGCAAGCTTCGTTGCACTCTCCAACCTTTGCTTCCTCACCCTCCAATGTTTAAAATATTTTTTAAAATTAAAAAAACTTAAAATTTAAAGGGTTGGAGGAATTTCAGGCTCATTTATTGAATTGCCAAAATTCGATTTTGTATTGACCGGAATAGGAGAATTTGTCCAATTGCCAGGATTAATAGACGCTATACGCTCTATAATAAATTTACAACTAGCCAATTTGGCCGTTTTACCCAACAAAATTGTTTTCCCGTTAGCACCTAATGTTAATGTTTCTCAACTTTATTTTCCTGAACCTGATGTAAATTTTAAAAATTTAAAAAATTTATAATTTATTTTTAGGGAATTGTTAGACTTAAAATTATACAAGCTAGAAATTTGGAAAATAAAGACAAAAGCTTTTTTAATAAAAAGAACTTGAGCGATCCTTACTGTGAAATACAACGTGAGTTATTTTGTGTTTTGTATTTCGTGTTTGTGTTTTATGTTTTTTGTATTTTTCTGTATTTTTAATTAGTCAAGTTTGTGCTTGTATTTTTAAGTTTATTTTTAAGTTGCTTAAGTTTATTTAAGTTCGTGCTTGTATTTTTAAGTTTATTTTTAAGTTCTTAAGTTTATTCAAGTTCATGCTTGTATTTTCAAGTTTTGTTTCCAAGTTTATTTAAGTTCAAGCTTTCTTTCTGTTAAGTTCACACTTAACTTTTCAAGTTAATTCTTATATTTTCTGTTTATTTTTATGGATATTCAAGTTCAAGCTTAATCTTTAAGTTTATTTTTCTGTTCAAGTTTACTTATCTTTATTTCTATTTTATTCTTTATTACAGTTGGCTCTCAACATTTTCTTACAAAAGTAATCAACGACAATTTAAACCCAATTTTTAATGAATGTTTCGAAGCCGTTGTCGATCAAGCATCTGGGCAGCGTTTGCGTATTGAACTTTTTGATAAGGACTTGGCTGGGGCTGATGAGGAATTGGGTAGACTATCCCTTCCATTAGATAGTGTTCGTCAGGCTGGGGAAATTGAAAAAGTACTCGGATTTTCTTTCAATTTCCTTCTAAAATTTCTTTTTAGTGGTACCAATTGGAAGGCTGCAAAAATGGAGAATTAAACCTTAAAGTTTGCTGGCTCGATTTAAGCACAAATGCTGTTGACAAACAACGAGATGAGTGGGAGAGTGAATGGCTAGGGGCTGATAAACCAATGCACCCAGCTTTGCTAATGATTTTTTTGGATTCTGTTTCTGATTTGCCTGTAAAATTGTTTTTATTTTTAATTTTAATAATTTTCAGTATCCAAAATCTGGTCTAGAACCTTCTCCACTTATAGAATTTTCACTTGGTTTAAAAAAACAACAAAGTCCAGTTAAAACTAGAACAACTAATCCTCTTTATCAGGTAGAGAAGGCTCTCATCTTTTATTATATTATTTCTTATTTCTCTGACCGTCAAGTTTATTTTCAAGTTTATTTTCTGATATTTTTAAGTTCAAGCTTAAATTTCAAGTTTATTTTTATTTCTAGGTTTATTCAAGTTTATCCTTATATTTCCAAGTTTATTTTTATTTTATTTAAGTTCATGCTTATACTCTCAAGTTTATTTTTTATTTCAAGTTTTATTTTCCTATACTTTCTCTACCTTATCTCTTAAAGATATAAAGTCTCTCATCTCAAAATAAACTTTAATTAATTAATCTCTCTATTTATCAGTGCAAATTCAACTTTTTTGTTAAACAACCGGAGGGACAAGAGCTTAAAATCCGAGCTTTAGACGATGGAACCAAAAGAGAAATTGGGGAATTATTAATTCCAGTTAGGGTTGTTATGAAAGAGCCAAACATGGAATTAACTCAACAAACATTTTATTTACAACATGGAGTCCATTCTTCCCCTATTGTTTTGACTGTTCGGTTGAGGGTGGATATATATTTGAATTTTTTTAGTCGAAAAATTTTATTTTACAGTTTTTTACTCCCCCAAAAAATATTTTGGAAAGAAAAGAAGTGGTTTATGGCACTGGTAATTTTTATTAGAAATTTTTATATTAATTTCAAAAATAATTTTTACTGTTTAGATGTTCATATTGAAAGAGGAAATGGAAGTTTCTTGTCAGACAAAACACTTATAGTTAACTTTTAATATTTTTTAAATTTCAAAAAAAAAATTAAAAAACCGAAAAAATTAAAAAAAATTTTTTAGAAATTTCTTTTTCTAAAAAAATTTTTCAAAAAATTTTTTAAAAAATCCAAAAAAAATTCAAAAATTTTTTCTAAAAAAATTTTTTCATATTAAAAATTTACAGGATAAGCAACAACAATTAACAAAAAATAAGGAAAATAATAATAACCATCACCAATTAAATAATAACCAAAAATCGGATACTGAACTTAATTTTACCCCCGAAAACTCAACAAATTTTACAGCATTAGATGATCATTTAAGACCCGAATCGGCAGCTTCAGAACGTTCCAGAACCTCTTCCTATTCTTACAAAAAATCAAAAACTGGAAATTTTTTGGGGAAAATGATTGGGCAGAAACATTCAAAAATGTAGAAAATTTTTATTTAGAAAATTTTATTTAAAAAAATTTTTGATACCGTAAATATCTAATAAACGCCCTGAGCGTCTATTTATCAATGGGTTACCCCGGGTTGGACTTGTATTCGAATATGGACTTTTAATGGAGAGTGGGCTTATATTTTTCCATGGGTCTTCCTGTGTGGGTCTGAGTCTTCCCCGGGGGTCTTCCCGGGGGAGGCCTTCCATGGTTGGGGCTTCAATAGAAAGCCGGGCTTATATTAGAAAATTTGATGTAATTTTGTTTTTAAAGAAAGAATCGTCGCGAGTCTTCCATTGGGCTAAGCAAAATAAATTTGGAATTAAATTATGATAATGAACAGTTTAAATTGGTTGTGAATATTGTTGAAGCAACGTATGTAATTTTTAATTTTTATGAATATTCAAGAAAATTTTTAAAAATTTTTTAAAATTTTCAGAATTTTTTTTTGAAAAATTTATTTGAGAAATTTCAAAAATTTCAAGAAAATTTTTAAAATTTTTTTTTAATTTTCAAAAAAGTTTTTCCTTTTTAATTTCAGAGGCCTATTACCAATAAGTAAAGACGGCTATGCAGATCCCTATATAACTCTACGTTTAATTCCAATAGAAGGACAAAGAGGATTGGCATCTGCTGGAAGTATATCTCCAGGAAAGGGAGGAAGGAAACAAACCAAAATTGTGGAGAATTGTTTAAATCCAATATTTAATGAAATGTAAGGGAGGGGAGGGGGGGTTTTTAAAATTATTTTTTAAGATTTGAATTTGGTTTTCATTTTTCAGAATTGGCTTATTTCAAATTAATTGTAATTTTATTTTTAATTAAAAATTAGAAAAAAATAATTTTTTCTAGTTAACTGTTAAAGATGCCAGAAATTATGGAATGTTTGAAAAAAGAGCGGTACTTGGAACGGTAATTAAAAAAAAATTTTTTTTTGAAATTTTTTTTTGAAAAAATTGAATTGTTTTTTAAATAATTTTAAAATTAAAATTATTTTCTATCGAAAAAAAAAATTTTTTTAATATAAATTTAATTTTTTTTCAGGCAGAAATTCCTCTAAAAGACGTAGATCCGTCAAAACCAAAAACCAACTTATGGCTAGATTTAACTAATTAAATTTATTTTAAAAATTCTATTTTTTAATCTAATATTTTTTTGTTGCATTTGTTTTTTATAGTTTTTTTAAATTGTTATTCCAATGTTTTTTAAATTAATTTTAATTAAAATGAATAATTTAATTTATTAAACTTAGCAAACTTTAAAGAAAAGTTGCAAGGAAGTGTTGTGGTGTAGTGGTATATTGTTGGGCTTCAAACCTATCTTATTAAATAACATGTGTTGGGTTCGATTCGAATCCATGAAATGGTCTTTTAAAAATTAAAATCCAATGTACTTTTTCATTTTATTTTTTGTTTCAAATAATTTAAAAATTGCCAAATCATTTTTAAGAATTTTTTAAAAATGTTAAAAAGGTGAATAACCCTCTAATAATCATAGAAAATGATTTTTATATAAAAAGGGCTGATTCTCTCAATAAAAAATTTATTTTGCCTCACTAAACAATGATTTTTCGTTTTTTATACAGTTTTTTGGTTTGTTTATTTTTCTAAATTTATTTTTTAAATTAATTATGTTTTAAAGACATTATTGGCTCTATACAATGCCTCCGCTGGGAAAGGTCCAGAAATTAGTATGGAAAGTCAAGGACAGAATTGCACATTTTCTGGGGTTGGAAAATGTCCAAAAGGTGCTTTTTGGAATCATAGAACAAAAAATTTAAAAAATCAAAGGTTTTGTGTGCCTTCGTGGTTTGTGTGCCAAACGTTGTTATTACAAAGGACAATGCTCTGACGGCTATCTTTGTCAACACGCCTATGCCTGTGTTAAAAATATATGTCCACTTTCTGACATGAATTGTTGCCCACACTGCCCTGAGGCTTTTAAAATTTAATTTAAAATAAAGAAAAATTGTTTAAGAAATGTAAAAAGCCTGGAGATTGCCCCCAAGGGTGGAGCTGTTATATTACAAAATGTAGACGACAGGGTCTGTTTTTTGTTTTTTTTTTCGGACTTTTTTCTGAATTCTGATTTTTCTGAATCTGATTTATATTTTAATTTCTACAGAGTGTCACAGTAAAAAGGATTGCGAGTTTGAATGGCCATGTCAGGTAAACCAATAATTTATAAAAATAAATTTAAATTTTTAAGATGGGCAAATGTCGAACTAAAGCATGTACTAAAGACAAGGATTGTCCAGAAAATTGGAAATGTGGAAAGACGCGTCGATGTATGAAAATAGTAATAGAAAACGAATAACGAAAATATTTAAAATTAATTTTTTAACTTTTAAAAAAAAAAAGTAAAGAATTGGTGTCGTTGGTGTATTAGGAAAAAATTTGGTTTCAGCTACACAAGAGCTTTAATAGGCAAAGGTTCAAATCCCACCGATGTTAAATAATTTTTATTTTTAAATAGAAGAATTTAAAAAAATAAAAAATTGGCAAAAAATATTTTAAGGGTTAAAATAAAAATTTTTTAAAAATAAAAAGACGGTTTTTGGTGAAAAATACTTAAAATTTGGCAAAAATAAAGCTTTTTAAAGGTTAAAATAAATTATTAAAATTGTTAAATTCTTATTAATTCTTATTTTTCACATCCAAATAACTTTAAAAAAATTTTCTTTAATTTTAAAAATATTTAAAAAAAATTATTTACATAAGCAATCCAGCCGAAAAAGTTAAGAGAGCTGCAACAACCAAAAGCATTGTACCAGGAAAAAAGTTTAAAGTAAAAGGGTAAATTCCATTAAATAAAGGAGAAGCAATTAAAAAGCCCATAGATTGAAGTAAAGACATTAGAGAAAAAATTTTGCCTGAAAAAATTTTTTTTTTGAAAATTTAAAAAAAAAATTTTTTCTTGCCTTGTTCACCAACATTAACACAAGCACTAGCTATAGCCCTTAATCCCGTTGACACAAACCGGCCAAAAATTGAAAGAAAAATGGACATAAAGGCAATTAGAGAGGTTTTTGTAAATGCCAAAATTATAACTGAACCAATTTTAAATGTTAACCCAAACAAGGCTAAACGTAAATTGCTTATTCCAATTCGTTTTTGAAGTAAAGGATAAATAAAAATTATCTGGAAATATTTGGAGATATTAAAAAATAAAATTGAAAATGTAGTCGGACCTCGCTTGTAAAGACCCCTCATTATATGGTAGAACATTTTTAATTTGGGTGGCAAAAGGATTTTTGGAGAGGGGAGACTGTTTAAAACGATTTCTCGTAAATTTTTTAAAGAAGGGATTGCTAAGTAAGGAGAAAGAAGGAATGACAAAGCTACAACCTCCTATTTAACGTACACCTCATTATACGGTGTACGTTTTTTTAAATTTGGTTGGTGACTGGATTTTGGTGAGATGGTTGTCTAAGAAAATTGGAGAGGGATGTCTCAGCACTACCTGCAATTTAAGGTAGTTCCATGTGAGGTCCGACCATCTTATTATATTTTAAAAATTTTTTACACAAAAACTATCAGAACCAACAGCAATTCCATTAAACCAGCCATATTCTTTATCTGTCCATTTAAGTTGAAAACGGAAGAACGAAAATAAAATATCCATTAAACCAGAAAAACTAATAAATTCTACCTAGAAAAATTAAAAAGAAAAATTTTTTTAATTTATTTTTGCCTTACTAAGAGAGCAACCAAAACAATATTTAAATATTTTTGTTTATCAACATCCCTCTCAGCTTTAAAAATTTGTAAAATATCCAAAAATCGTTTACGACATAAAATACAAAAATTTGATGTTGCTAAAAATAATTTTTAAAAAATTAGGGAAATTTTAAATTTTAGTTCGACCAAAAGGACAGGTTTCTATTTTGTGACAATATGTCAAATTTTGCGTTATATGACAAAATAAAAAAAAAATAAACTTGAATTTTTCTATTAAACCTGATATTTCTCTCAAGAATCAAGTTTTAAAAAAATAAACTTTTTCAGAATTTATTTTAATAAAATAAAACTTGAATTATTTTCAGAATTAAGTTTAAACGTTTTCTTCCCTACAATTTTCAGAATTTTTTTAAAAACTTTATCAGAATTATTTTCAGAATTTATTTAAAAAAATAAACTTGAATTATTTCAGAATTAAAAATAAACTTTTTCCCCTTACTATTTTTCAGAATTTTCTTTAAAAACTTTTTCAGAATTATTTTCAGAATTAATTTTAATTTTTCCTTTTCCCCAACAAACAAGTTTTAATAAACTAAAACTTTCTCCTCCTTACAATTTTCAGAATTCTGATTTAAATTTTCTGTAGAAGTTGAATTTCTGATTGTTGTAGTTTCTGTTGTTTCTTGTGTTGTAGTAATATTTTTATTAATTAATTCTTTACAGAAAAATATTATTTGAATTGATACAATTAAGTGTAAAATTGTCAAAAATAGGAAAAATAAGGCATAACCAATTAGGCTGAAATTAAAAAAAAATTTTTTTAGAAATTTTTTGAAAAAAAAATTAAAAAAAAATTTTTTAAAAATTACAAAAATTTAAAAAAAAATTTTTAAATTTTAAAAATTTAAAAAAAAAATTTTTTAGAAAATCTTAAAAATTTTTTTGAAATTTTTTAAAAATTTTTTGAAAAAAAATAAAAATTATTTTTTAATAAAAAAATTAATATTTTTTAAATTTCAATTTTTAACTGTCTAAGCTGGCCTGATAGCAAATATCCAAACATTCCTCCCAGTCCCATACTGCCTTCTAACAAAGCCATCTAAAAATTGAAAAAAAAAATTTTAATTAATTAAAAAAATACCCTTGTGGGACGAAATGTCGTAGGCGTTACACGAACAGAATAGGCAAATAAAAGGCCTTTAAAATTTAATTTGAAATTAAAAAAAAAAGAGAAAAAACCTATAATCGAAGTAAATCCTCCAGTAAAACCAAAAATTAAGTCACTAAATAATAACAAATAGGGAGAACATTCCAAACAAATTGATTGTAAAATATAATTAAAATCGGCAAATAAAAGGCCTTAAAAATATTTTTTTTTGAAATTTTTTAAATTTTAATTAATAAACCTATTAGAGGAATAAATAAGGTTCTGCGAGAACTCCAAGAATCGAACACTAAAAATATTTAAAATTAATTTTTAATTATTTCTAAAAATTTTACTGGTTCCGAGAAACAAGGCAGAAGGAATTGAAGGAAGAAATAAACACAAACTTGAAGCTATCTGGGAGAAAAAAAATTAAAAAAATTTTCAAAAATTTACCAATAAATGATTTGCCTCTTTCTGTAATTCCAAATCGGCATGGGTAGCGGAAACATTTTGACAGGTAATTTGGTCAAATCTGCCAGAGCCTAAACAAGCTTTTTCATACAGAATGGATTGAAAAACTGGAAATTTGGCAAAAGTAGTAAACATAAACAGAAGCTGAAAAAAGGATTTTTAGAGGTTTAAAGATAAAAAAGAAACCATGGAAGGCTCAAAAATAAGCAATTTTTTATTTTCCGTTTGAGGTAAAGTTGTTGGAGGCAAAGAAGAATAATTTGGTTGAGCATTGTTGACATTCTCGGGCATTTTCCAAGCCTTTTTTAAAATAAAATAAATTTAAAAAAATATTTTTGTTATCTTTTTTAATCAAAATGATCGTAGGAATGTTGTAAATTAAATAAAAATAAAAAAGGAAAGAAAAAAATGTAAAAAAATCAAAGCTTTTTAGATAAAAATCTACTTTTTTGCTGTTAAATTTTATTGTTCTCTAACTTTATTAAACCTCTTCGACTGTACAAATTAGAGAAAAAGAATAAAAATAGTGTAATAAACAGTTAAATTTTTAGAGATTTTAAATTATTTTTAGTTAGTTTACACTTTGTAATTTCTTTCGTGTTAAAACTTTTAAAAAGTTTTATGTCGTCTGCCCGCTCTCCTTATTTTGTGTTGTCTCTTTTTATTTGCAAAAATTTTTTTTCGAGTTTTGTTTCCGAATTTTCGTTTTTCGTTCAAATTTTTTTGTTTTAAAAAAACTAAAAATTGCTCAATATCCAACACCAAATCCACAACCGGCTCGCGGTATTTATGGATTTGTATTTTATTTGGCTTCTTGGATTTCTTTAATAATTTATCTCTGCTGGGCTTTGGTTTCTCCCTATTTAAATAAATTTAAATTAATTTTTTCAGATTCCAGATTGTCTTCTTAAACATTTTCATTTGACTTATTTGCCAGCAAAATATTGGGCTGTTGCTATTCCTTCATTTTTAATTTTCTTTATTTGTATGTTTTTTTTTAATTTTGCTTTAAATTTTTATTTTTTAGTTGTTTATATTTTAATTTCTTTATCGTTTAATGCTCTACATTTAAATTATTTATTTACTTCTGATCATAATTTAATAAGTCTGTCTTTGGTCAACGACTTTATTGACTGGTTTGTTTTTTTTTGGTTTTTTTATTTGGCTAGTTAGATTTTGCGAGTGAGCCGGGCTGGATTAGGCTAGGACTTCCTGCACCCAGATTGGTACTTTAGGGGTTTTCCCGGACCTCGGCACTTCACCACTCTGTTCTTTTTATCCAACGTACTGACACCGAATCCACTGTTGTCTTTTGGGGTTTTCCTGAGCCTGGGTGCGGACTAGGCTAATGTAAGACTTCCTGCACCCAGATTCCTGACTGGGTGATTTAGTGTTCTTCTAGACCTCGGCGCTTCACCACCACCCCGTTCTTCTTATCAAACGACCTGACACTGATGTGAGCCAGTTGTTTTTGGGGTTATCCTGAATCTGGACGCTCCACCACCCCTGTTCTCGTTATCTACCGACTAATGATCTTCAGAGACGGTAACTCTACTTTCTCTCTTACTGATCCTTAACTCTTATTGTTTCCCTGATTTCCACTTTCCTACAAAATTTATTTCAGAAAAGAATGCCTCTTTACTTAAAATTGCTTTGTTCTCACGGAATCCCCACTTTTATTCTACTCCCAAGATCATCTACCAATTTAATATTCCGACTCCATCAATCCTCTTCAGCACCGATAATGGTAGCTAAATATAAAAAAGATCAGCTTTTACGGGAATTGAATAGAAGATATGAACGCTCACTAAATTTTAAAAAGAAACCGAACAAATTGTCAAAGGATGGGGAACTACTTCCAAGAATTGCGTCTATTGCTGCTCAAAGAGTTTTGAGGTATAACAAATTTATTTTTATATTTTTTAGGGTAAAAATCAGATATTGGATAAGTCACGTTCCCAAGGGCTACCTCTGGTGGGTTGAATTTTAGAAGGTCGAGAAGGACGAGATTCCGCAGGGTTTATCCTGTAAGTCCTGGTATACCTTTTTGTCGCTTAACAATAAGACCTGGAATTCCGTGACGGGATTTGAGATTCCGTAACGTGAGCCTGAGATTCCGTGACAGGATCCCGTAAAATCCTGTACGGCAGCTCGTTCCGCGCCGGTCTCTAGTCAAAATTATTTTCTGAGGTTGTTTGATTAATGGAATTAATTGTCACTTTTTTAACAATTTTTTAGTTCTGACAAGGAACGTGTTGAATTAATTAATGAAAGGGCTAGAAATGTTTACAAAAAAGAATTTATCAATAAAACTCAAAAGAAGAACGAACAAGAAATTTTGCCTTATAATATTGAACAAAATCCTGATTTGTTTGATAAAAGTGGGGGTGAATTGGAAAAGTCTTCCAAAGAATTTAATTCAGGTTTTTTTTTTAATTTTTAGTTTAAATTTAATAATTACTGATTTAAGAGACTAAAGAACAGGATAGAAGTGATGTTGGTTTCTTTGTTTCTGACAATAAATTTTGTGATGATTATGCGAGTGCAACTACTGCAGACCTTCCAGAAGATGAAATGACAGAGTTTTTAATTTTTTATTAATGTTTGAATTAGTTTTTTAGACCAGAAATTGCGTATTATGGAAATGTTAATGAGGCTGTAGAAAACATTGAATTTCAATTACCTTTGCAAAGTCCAATTTCGAAGGTTTGAAAATTTGTGTAAATTACGGCTGGATTCGGACACTTAAATTCTTCGTCGGGTTTTTAGGGATTTTCCCCTTCCTCTGGTTATGTGCTTCAGACCTTACTTTTATTTAAAATATTTTTCAAATTTTATGGACCATTGGATGGGAGAGTTGCCTAAGCGATTTTTTTCCCTTTCCCCCCTCTTCATATTTTTTCCCTTTCCCCCCTCTTCATATGTATAAGTCACCTCTAATAAAGTATGATTTTTCTAATAAGGTAAGAAAAGTGATTTTTCGACTATTTTAAAATTAAAAAAATTTAGGGAAAGAATATTCCGTCAGAAGATGCTTTAGAATCTGGTGAATGGTTGAGTAATTATGGAACAACCGAAATTAAAGAGGAACAACTCAAAAATATTAAAATTCTTGATTCGAAATGTGAAAGTTGTGGAGCACAATTTCATTGTCATAATTCTTCACTTCCCGGGTTTTTTTAGAAATTTTTTTTTATTTTATAAATTTTTTTAAAGCTTTGTCCCTTTGGAGTTGTTCAATGAAATTAAAAAAAATTCCAAAAAAATTCCTTTTTATCAAAAAACTGGATATACTTGTAGACGCTGTTTTCTTCTTAAAGAATATAATTTTTTGGTTAGTTTTATTTTTAATTTTCAAAAAAATTTTTTTATGTAAATTTTTCGAGAAAAAAATTTTTCGAAAATATTTTAAAAATTCACAAAAAAAATGAAAAAATTTTGTGAATTTTTTTTTGAAATTTTGATAAAAAAATTCAGAAAAATTTTTTTGGTCATTTTCTTGTTTCTCTATTCAAATTTTTGTCTTCTATTCAAAAAAATTTTTTTTCTTAAAGTTAAATGTAAATGTTTGTGAACTCGATTATAATGCAATGATGGGACATTTAAAATTAGTTCAAGAAGCTCTAATCCTTTTAATTGTTGATTTGACTGATTTACACAGTTCCATTCATCGTGATTTGCCGAGGATTATAGGGCCTAAAAAGCCTTTAATTGTTGTTGGTTAGTTTAAAAAAATTTTTTTTTTGATTTTTTTTTTGATTTTTTAAGCAAGTCTGTTAGTGATAATTAGGGATGGGACGTGTTAAGGAATAAGCGTGTAGTGTTTCTGATTTTGGTTGAAAAAAGTTTAGGTTCTAACTCTAGTTTCGGGTCACCTGTCAGATCCCTATAACTACTGTCCCGTCCCTTATATGGTTTTTCGTTTTATGTCTTATTTAACTAATTTTTTAGTTTTTTCTCATACTAATTTTTTCTTTTTTAAAGGAAATAAGGTAGATTTATTACCCCCTGACACTCGAACAGGATATTTGCGTCATTACCAAAGATGTCTTAAAAATGCAATATCTGAAGCGGGAATATCTCAAGAATTTAATATTTTAAAATATATGTTAATTAGTGCAAAAACAGGTTTTGGAATAGAAGAAATGATAACTGTAAGGAATTAAATTATTTGGGATTATACTTGTGTATCGACACACTTTTTTGTATTGAATTATTCTGCGTATCGTAAACGGAGGACTGTTTGAACTTGAGGGAAAAGTTTTTTTCAATGACGAGGAAGGTTGTTCCAACAATAAGAAGGTTGTTCCAACATAACCTTCCTTATCGTTGAAATTTTTTGCAGATTGTCCGCAAACTTTTTGCAGATTATCCGCAAAAATTTGCGGATTTTCCGCAAATTTTTGTATCGCGCTTAATACAAGCGTGCGATATATAGGGTGGGATACACTGGGTTGACCTCTTTTTTTTAACTAAAAATATTTTTTTAAGAATATTTATCAAAATTGGATTGGACCAAGAGGAGTATTAAGAGGAGATATTTATGTGATAGGATCTACTAATGCTGGAAAATCGTTTGAAAAAAAATTTATTAAAAAATTAATTTTTTTAATTTTTAAAGGACCTTGTTTAACACTTTAATTCAATCTGATTTGTGTAAAGTTAGAGCAATGGATTTGGTTGAAAGAGTGTAAGTGGGAGATTTTTTGAAGAAATTTTTTCTCTGGTTTAACCCCTAGTGTTTAGGAATAAAAAATTTTTTCGATTGATCTTTTTTTTGTTTACAATTTTGAAAAAAAATGCCTGTCTTCATCTCTTAAGAAAAAATTTTTTAAATTTATTTGAATTTTAAATTCACTATTAATTTTTAAATTATAATACCTTTGAAAAATAATTTCTTTAACGTTCTTGAAAAAAATTTTTTTCTCTTGTTAGGACAACTTCAATATGGCCAGGTACAACACTTTCTTTACTTAAATTTCCCTTAATGAATCCAACACCTCAAAGAATGGAAATGAGAAGAAAAAGATTAATTAGTTTAAATTCTTGGAGAAGTAAAGTAAGTTGGGGGGTTTTATAAGGGGTGACATTTTATCCCAAATTTATAGGAAGAATTCGTTCGTAAATCTTTTTATGAAAAAACTAGTGATACGAAATATGCTGTTTTGCAAGGAATTGTTGAAAATACGTTCAAGGTTATTTTAAATTTTTTTAAATTTTTTGCGGATTATCCGCAAAATTTTTTATTGATTTTTCGAAAAAAAATTTTTGCGGATTATCCGCAAATTTTTTGCAAAAAAATTTTTTAAAGGAAAAAGAAGACGATTTACAACCAATTTCAACCTCAAAAATTATAAAACAATTTAATAATGAATTAGATGCAAATGAGGTAGAAGAATTGATTAATGAATCCGAAAAAGTGCCTAATATGACTTTGAATGATAGAGTTTTTATGAAAGGATTTTGGTGTTTCGATACTCCTGGAACTGTGAATAAACAACAGGTTTGTGGATTATTTTAATGATTTTTTGAGGTTTTTTGGGATTTTTCGAGAAGTTGAATTTTTGATCCATCATTTTATAAAATGTCAGGAAGGGTAAAATAAATAAAACGTCAAAAAAACAATAATAACTAAATTAATTTGCTGGGTTGGGACACGCCCAAAACAACGCGCGGACATAACGCAAAGCCATAACTTGCCTCTCATCGAGCTAAAGAGTTTCGTAACAAATTGATAAGGGCCAGAAATTTTTCGGCTAGTTATGGCTTTGCGCCGTTATGGCCGCACGTTGTTTTGGACTGTACCCGCTGGATTGTCTATTACAAGGGCGTAATTAGGGTGATTTTCTTGGGTCATATAAATTAAAAATAAATTTTTTTCTTAATTCTAGATATTAGATTTATTTACTTTGAAAGAATTAATTAATATAATTCCTCGTTCAATAATTTTGCCACGTATATTTATTCTTTATCCAAATGAAAGTTTACTTTTGGGTGGAGTTGGAAGAATTGATTTATTGAGTGATGACTCAACTGCTAAAAATATGCCTATTTTTGTTTGTTTTTTTAATATTTCTTAATCCGCAAAAATTTGCGGACGTCCGCAAAAAATTTTTGCGGACAAAAAAATTTTTTATTTTTTAAGTTGACAGTTTTTGCTAGTGAAAATTTAAAAGTTAATGTAATGAGAACAAATTATGTTGACACTTTTCTTGAAAGAAATAGAGGAAATCCATCACTTGGTGCGCCTATCGGAAATGCTGAAAGATTAAATAAATTCCCAAAGGTTTTTAAAAAAAATTTTTTTTGAAAAATTTTTTTGAAAAATTTAATTTAAATTTAAATAGTTGGAATATAAAGATTTTTTAATTGAAAATGTTTTTTATTTGGAAGACGATGAACGTGGAATTGCTGATATAGTTTTGTCTTCACTTGGTTGGGTACTTGTGACAACTAAAATGAGCAGTGTTAATGTAAGGAAGTTTTTTTTAAATTTTTTTTATATATAATGCTATAAATTATTTTATTCAAATATTTTTTGGGGGAAAATTGTAAATACGCCCTTTTTAAAATTTTTGTCCGCAATAATTTTGCGGACAAAAATTTTTGTCCGCAAAAATTTTGCGGACAAACTTTGCGGACTTTTTTTTTTGTTAATTTTTGAATTTTAAAGATACGTGCTTGGACACCTTCCGGCCGTGGTTTAATAACTCGACAACCTCCAATCTTGCCCTATGCTGCTGCTTATCGTGGAAGAAAAATTTTTGGAACTTCAACTTTTCAAACTAAAAAATTGGCAGAAATTGAAACATTCTCCCACACCCAACGAAGTGTTAAACCTGGAAAAATTGTTGGGAAAAATTATGAAATTGATTCTTCTTATAATGAACCATATCGTTTTGTTAATTTTGATATAGTTTAATTTAATTGTGATTTTTTAAAAATATTTTTTGATAAAAATTTTTATTAAATTTACCAAATCTTTGATTTATAAGACGTTTTTTAAGCGTATATATCTATTTTTTAATTTTTTTAAATTATATTTTTATTTAATTTTAAGGATGGATGTTCTACTAAATTACAATGTTTATGTTCCAGCTACTGTGTTATCCTCATTTCTAATTTTGTTTTTGTGGCTGTTTGAGATAAGGTTTGGAAAATTTTTTTTGCTAAATTGTTAGAAAAAAGTTGCGGATATCCGCAAAAAAAAAGTTGCGGACTTTTTTGCAACCCAACTAAAAATTCTTTTTTTTTAAGTTTTTTGCTTTTGTTTTCGTCATTGGTTGCATTCTCTATTGGATTTTTAATTTGCCGTGTTCTACTTCAAAACCCACAATATTGCATTTGGTTACAACATGTTTTTGCTAACATTATTTATGAAGATAAAGAACTTGTGGAGGATATGAAGGAAAAATTAGAGGTATATTTTTAATAATTTTGATTTTGAAAATATTAAAATTTTCAAAAAATTTTATTTTAGGTTGACAACGAGCACTTACTTAAAAACCTAAATGATAGTAAAGAGACCGAGGAACCAACAATTAGACCTTGGGATCGGCTCAAACTTGATGAAAATTTCAATAATGAATTGGATGAATTTTTTAAAACTTTGGTCATAAATTATGTTAATAGTTGGTTTGTTTTTTATTTTCTTTTTCAATTATTTTTAATAAATCCGCAAATTTTGTCCGCAAAAATTTTTGCGGACAGTTTCAATTTATTTTTTTTTAATTTTTTTCTAGGTACAACGAAAATTTAAGTGAAGATGAATCTTTTACTTCAGAAATTCGCCAATTAATAAGACATTCTTCTGCAAAAATTTTGACAACATTTATGGAAGCTGATGTTTTGCAAATATTTACTGATGAAATAATTCCTGTTATTATTGCACATGTTGAAAGAGTTGTGAGAATATTAAATGAATTTTCTTCTGAACGATTTTTTTCATTTGAAATACAGGTTTTGGATTTTTTGATCCTTTTAGGGGTTTTTTTGACACTTTGGCCCTCTTGGAATTTTTGACATTTTGACCCTTTTAGGATTTTTTGACATTTTGACCCTTTTGCGCTTATTTATTTTTTAATTTTTTAAATAATTTTTTAAAGTCTGTTTCATTAATCGAATTAAAAATTTTGGAACAATGGCCTCCTGACTCACATTTTGCTACCTTATCTCAAGAAAATCAACTAGATTATCTCCGAGCATTATCAGACTCTCTTATTTGCAAATTTGTTGACGATATTAGAATTGGGGGTTGTTTTGTGGATGAAGAGCATCAAAAAATGTTAAATAGAGAGGGAGCTATTCCTTTTTCTACAAAGGTTTTTTTAATTTTTTGGAGTTTAGAATGGTTTGGAGCCTGGTTCTATAGTCGATTTTTGGTCATATTTTCTTAGGCTACGGAATTTGGTCCTATTTTTTGAAACCACGGGGTTTGGAATATTTCCGTCCTTTTTAATTTACTTCTAAACCAGTTTGCGACAAAGTTATTTAAGGAGAGGAATTTTTGTTGATATTTCCCTATGTTCTCTTGTTAAGCAAATCTAATAGTCTACAAACTTGTTAGGATAACCTACAACCACCGGATTTTTCTTATTTTAATTTTTACTTATTTTTTAGTGGTCATGTCACAGTTCTCGTCACTTTTTAAGAGAATTACTACTTTCAACAGTTCTAATTCCAATAATTGATTTTTGTTCTGATCCAGATTCTTTAAATTATTTTGCTCTTTCATTTTTGAATCAACCTACTTTTTATGATTCGTTACATTCCTCACCTAAGGATGTTGGCTCAACAGAAAATGTTTCTAATTCACAATCTAATGTAAATTTATTTTTATTGATTTTTTATAATGGTTTTAGGAGTGTTAGAAATACCTAGAAAATTTGACCATTTTGGTAATTTTTCTTTTACCCTTTTGGTAATTTTTCTTTTACCCTTTTGGTAATTTTTCTTTTACCCTTTTGGTAATTTTTCTTTTACCCTTTTGGTAATTTTTCTTTTACCCTTTTGGTAATTTTTCTTTTACCCTTTTGGTAATTTTTCTTTTACCCTTTTGGTAATTTTTCTTTTACCCTTTTGGTAATTTTTGACCCTTTTGAGATTTTTTAAATTTTTTGCCATTTCATTTTTCTGAAGTTTTTTTGTCTTTCTGACCCTTTTGGTCACTTTTTAAGAGACTTCTTAATTTTTTGGATTTTTTATTTGTGACCCCTGTAAGTTTTTTTTGATTTTTTACCCTTTTGGTATTTTTTGATTTCTGACCCTTTTGAGATTATTTTATTTTCTAATTTCATTTTTACAGAATTTTTTAAATAAATTTTGTGAACAAACTTGTGCTCATTCACCAGATTCTTTACTTTGTCTTAAACTTTCTGATTTGGTACGTGATCCCTATTTGGTTAAATTATTTGAAATTTATATTCGTGATTTTAATGGACCAGTTAAATTTTTGGATTGTTTTATTCAAACTAGAGAAATACATTTAAAAATACAAAAGGTTTTTTAATTAAATTATGGTAATTTTTAGTTGTTTGTTGACCAATACATTTTTGGGTAATTAGATTTTAAGGTTTCAACTTTGTTTTTAAATTTTGTTTTTGAATGAATTGTATAGGAATCACTTGTTTTCAGAAAGCATTGGGTTTCGGTTTTAAATGGGATTATTGAGGAGTGTGCCGAATTATTTTGTGGACCCTGATCCGAAAAAGGTTAGATGTTCGAAAACTTCGATTCGCTTATCTGGGGATTTTACAGGATCTACCAACCTTGGGGGGAATGTATGAAACGAGTAAGCGGTATAGTTGTGGTATTCTTGGATGTCTGGGACGCATGTTCTTTTCTGTTATTTTTTAAGCTTTTTTTAAATTAAAAATTTTTTTAATTTTCAAGTTAAATAATGATGAATGTTTTAATTTATCACAAAAATGTACATCTTCAAATATTTCTTCAGAGTTATTTGAAGAAATCAAATTAGCAACAAAACAACTTTATGATAATTTTATTTATTCTGGAGAAAATAAAAGTCATTTAATTTTTACAAAATGTTTAATTGAAAAATTTGAAAATTATTTTTTTGGCAAAACTCAAAATGATGAAAATTTAAAAAATTTGGAAAATTTAATTGAAGGAGTTTACCAAGAGGTTTTTTATTTTTTTGGGAAATGTTGAGGATTTCTAAGCCCCCATTTTTAAAAAAACCCCCTTTTTCAATGTTCCTTTTTTTGTTGAAGATGCAGCATAAGGCTGATTTGATATATACCAGACCTCCAAAAAGCTGCCGAAATACCAAGCTGTTGAGGAAATTTTTTTAACAGCAGGGAAGGTTGTTTGTATTATGGCGTTTGGTATTTCCACGGCTTTTGGCATTACGGCCGAATGCTACTTGAAAGGGAAGCTCGCCCTTACCTTTCTCAACCCTTACCTTTTAATTTAGATTTTTTTATTTAAAAAAAGGTTTATCAATTTCTTCAATACAATTATGTTATTCCTTTTTATCAATCAGAAAATTATTTGGGATTTCTTTGTGGTGCCCCTCCAGAATTTGATGAATTAATTAGAGGAATTGAAGAATCTTATGATGATGAGGAGAAATTTCCAAAAGTTTTGGATTCGTCTTTTTCTCTTTCACAATTTAGGTTTTTTGAAAATTTTTTAATTTTCGTTTCTGAAAAAAATTCCGGGAAAGCACTTGGGGAATTCGGCCCTTTTGACACTTTTAGGCCTATTTTGTGATATTTGTCTAAAGAAAACAACAAAAAAGGTGGCCGCGAAAAATTAACGAAAAATAAATGTTGTTAATAAAAGTCTAAACCCAATTTAGACTTTCTCCAAAAATTTATAAAGTTTAAAAAACTTTATCAAAAATAAGAATAAATAAAAAATATTTATTTTTAAGTTTAAATTAAACAAAAATTTTATATTTTTTAAAAGGTTATAGAATAAATTGAAAATTACATAAAAACGAAGAAAAATATATAAAATTTTGTTTTTCCTTCTTTTCTTTTGTTCTTTAAGTCGCGCCTGGCAGGTGCAGAACAAAACCGATAAAGAAGAAACTAAAATTTCTAAATAAAAATAAAATTAAAGGCTAAAGATTAAAAATAAATTTATAAAAAATTAATATTTAATAATATTTAATAATATTAATAAATATTCGAATATAATGATAATTTATCATTATATCAATTTTTTACATGTCTCTGACTTTTTGGATTGACCATTTTGTGATTTTTTTGACTTTTTTGACCATTTTGTGATCTTTTGATTATTTTGGCGATTTTTTAAAAATAATTTTATTTTTTAGGAAGAAACTATTTAATTTTATTGCTCCGTCAAATCAAGTTGTTTCAACCCAAAATTCTTCCTCTTCCCCATTTTATCCCTCATATTCAACGTCTGATTTGGAAGGATTTGATAAAGATGAGATTATTATAAATAATATGGTTGGTGGAGAATATTATGAAGGAAATGGAGAAAATGCTACAATTGCAATGAGTGATATGGGAAGAAATTTAAATAAATGGAATGTTAATATTGTTGGAATTGAACAACGTGGAGGTGATGGAATTGGTATATTTTTAAATATTTTTATTTAAAAAATTGGGCTAGTTTTTCTTTTACGCCTATTTTTTCTTAAATTTGGGCCTAGTTTATACGTATACTCCCAAAACCAATTCCCTTTGATTTATGATACGATGTTAAGCCATTGGGTGAATTGGATAAACTGGTTTGAGAAAGATGTCGGGTCGAGTTTCAATTGAGTTTTCAAAATTTTCTTAGGATCGGGCTTCAGATTTTTGGTTGAAATTTGGATTTGTTTCTCTTGTTTCAGATACCTAGCCCATCCCTTTTGGTTAGTCAGGAGTTCTTCAACCAGAAATTCAACCGATATCCTCGATTTACTATATTCCTTATTATAAGGTGGCTTCAGATTTCTGTTAGAAAAGATCTGGATTGGCTCTCGGTTTTCGAGTACCTATCCCCGCTTCTTATGGATAGTCAGGAGCTGTCCAACCGATGCCCTCAATCTACTATACTCCTCATTATAAGGTAGACAGGAGTTTTTTCCATCCCTTGTAAGTGTATCTAAAAATTAGTTTCGACTAAACTTTCTTAAAAAATTATTTTTAAAAATTTGTTTTATTTTAAGTTAATCCATATTTCGTTTTCAATATATTTGTTGAAAGAAATGATTTATCTGATGACCAAATGTTAAATTCCCAAATTTCTTTAACTGAAGAACATGTCGAAGAAGAAGATGAATTTATTGAAAAATTGCTAAAAACATGGAATGTTGGGCATAAATATTTGGAATTTTATGCTTTAGAAGACAAAATTAAAGATTATTATGGAACTTCAATAAAAAATATATTGTCATTACCTGATAGAAAAACAACTTTACAATTATTGCGGATTGGTAGAAATAATAGAACTTTAATGGAATCACATAAAATTTATTTTGAACGTTTTTTACAACAATTAGTTCAACAGGTTTTCTGATATTTTTTATTTTATAATAGGATAGGGGTTTTGTCATGCGACCAGGGGATAATTATGGATTTGTCGGGTCGAGGTAGGAGATGAATCATGTGTTGATTAGATTTAGAAAAAGTCTTATTGGGGTTTCAAAATTTTCTTAGTGTCGCGTTTTGGTTCAGAAAATCGAAAAGAGTTCAGGTTTCGGGTACCGTAAATGCTTGAATAATTACCTCGGTAATTATTGTTTCAACCTCTTGCCAGATGGGGTAATTAGTAATTGAGCAGGGGCAATTATTTGAGAGAGGGCAATTATTCGAGCATTTACGGTAACCCAATCTCTTCTTGATATTAACACGATTCCTGCAAGAAATCTTCTCTTTGATTGATACACAATAATCTTGTGGGGAATTTTTGGGGAGGAATCGTCAAGGGAGAGAGGGTTGGGGATTTTTCAAATAAAACCTTCAGATTCCACAATTTTCGGTAATTGAGTAAAGCGTCCTTTTTATGAGTAAAATATTTTCTAAATTTATTAAAAAAAATTTTTTTATCATTTTTAAGCCATTACTTAAACGTTCTGATCTTTTATATTTATTTTTAACATCTGAAGAAGATTCTAGTGGATTTTTTTCGCCTTTGACAGAAATTAATGATTCAATAACTACTAGCAGTATTTTATCAGATTTAAATCCAATTAAAGCAATGAGGAAAGCAGCAAAAGAGAGAGGACAAAATTTGAAGCCTTTTATTTTAAATTTATTAGCAAATGTATTAGCCCCTCCAACTTCAACATCAAATAAAAATTTTGTTTCCAATTCTTCACGTTTGTCAGCAACACAAAGACAACATTTCTCAAATTCTCCATCCTTGGAATCTACAAAATCTTCGTTTAATTTAATGATGAAAAAATTTGTTTTGGAAGAAGAAGTGAATAATGCTGAGAAAAAGTACGGGGGGTTTTTTTATTTTTTTTGAAAATTTTTTTAAATTTTCCAGAAAAAAATTTGTTTTTAAGGTCAAACAGTGACAACTTGAAAAAACGCCAAAATCCTTTTAATAAAAATTGTGGATCAAGAAATTCACCTGTTAATATAATGGAAAGTACTAATGAACAAATTGACGAGAATATTTGGAATAATAAATATAGCCTAAAAAGGTTATTTTATTAATTTTTTGTTTAAAACTTAAGGGGGGGGGGAGAGGGAGTTGTTTTGAAGGTTTTTTGACACAAACCAACAACCCGTGGCATTCCTGTTTGTTCGTAACTGGTTTTGTCTGGCTGGTTTTCGATTTTTAGTTTTATTTACCCCCCCCCCCCTCTCGGTTTTTTTTTATTTTTACCTAAATGTTGAGTTGTTAACGGAAGGTTTTTAAATGATTTTCAGTTATAAATCCGTGCTTGAATGCCTCTTAATTTAGATATTTTAAAAATATTTTAAAAAATAAATGAATTTTTTTTTCTTTTAAAGAAATTTATATGAAATTTGCCTATTTTTATTTACAACATTGGGATTTGTTAATTTACCAATTTGGTTTGAAGCTTTTCTATGTTCTCTTCATAAATTTATTGGATATTTATTTTCGCTCTTTTTTAGTAGAAAAATTGAAAAAATTTTGAAAGAAAATTTATTAAATGTTAATACAGCAACTAATTTAGGTAAATTTAAATTAATTTTTGATCTAGTTTAGTTTGTGAGTCCAATGGTGCACTAGTGATTCTCGACTCAATATAAAAAAGTCTCTTCTTTTTTGCTTCCAGAAGTCCGCAAATTTAATCCGCAAGTTACAAGCCCCTTGGAATAAATTTTTCATTGGTCTTGTAGCAGCTCTTCATTGGACTCATTAAAATTTATAGTTTTTATAAAAAAATTAATTAAAAAATCTTTATTTTTTAAAGTTAAATCACTTCATGAACTTGTCAATTCTTGGAATATGCCTAGGTAAAAAATTTTTTCCAATTTTTAAGTTTCCAGTTTTATGCGTCCTTTCTTTGGGATTTCAAACGTTCACAACTTTAATCCGCAATTAAATTAATACAGATTTTGGAGAATAAAATATTTAGTAGGATTTGCGGATAAAACTTGCGGACGTTTGGAAACTTTTAATTTTTCAAAAAAAATTTTTTTATTGTTTCAGTCAATGCCCAACTCCATCACAAATTTCTGTTGCTTCCTCTGCTGCAGCATTAACTAATTTATTACAATTAGATAATAATAAAATATTACAAGAAGAAATTAGGAGAAAAAGGGTAAATACTTCTGCTTCTGAACAGGTTAGTTATTTTTTTAAAAAGGAATTTGAATTATTTTATTTTTTTTATTGATTTTTGGGAGGAATGTTTATATATAGAAATGTGCTTATTTCATTAGGAATTTGATTTTATAGTCACTTGTTTTTTCTAATGAGTTTCCTCAATTTTTCCAAAAGTCCGCAAATTTAATCCGCAAGTCTTACAATTCCTTTAATCTCTTAAAATTCGCATGGTTTAACTTGCAGATTAAAATTTGCGGTTTTTTGGTGGCCCTAGGGGAAAAATGTTGTTGTTTAGGAAGTTCTCCTTTTCGGTTAAAAAAAGTCCGCAAATTCAATCCGCAAATCTTCCGTTTTTAATTTTTCTAAAATTCCGTTAATTTTAATTTACGGATTAAATTTGTGGACTTTTTGGAGCCCAAAATGAAAGGAATCCCAAAGACCCCTCAATTCTCCCAAAAATCCGCAAATTTTATCCGCAAGTTATTTTTATCTTTCTAATCTCCTAAAATCCGTATAAATTTTCTTGCGGATTAAATGTGCGGTCTTTTGGGAAGAATCCCAATAATTTTCAAAAACAAAAATAATGTGTGACCTTGTCTATGGATTTTTGATTAATTATTCTATATCACTTTTTATAGGAACGTCTTTTGCGCACAGAACTTTTACTTCACCGTTTAGAAAAAAAAGTTGAAGAAGAATTATTTCCTTGTTCACAGTTAATAAAATGGTTATTTGATAAAATAAATATTACAACAACTTCAACAGCAAAAATAAATTATTCTTCAAATCAAGCAACAGCTATACGCCAATTATTTTTATGTTTTCAAATGCCAGCATTAAATAGACAATTAATTTTTGTACTTTTGGATATTTGTGTACAAAAAATATTTTTAAATAAAAGAAAATGAGAGAGGAGCAGAAATATTTTTTGATGAAAAGGTTTATTTTTTCTTTATTTACTAAAAGTCCGCAAAAGTTTGTCCGCAAAAGTTTATTTTTTATCCGCATTTTATGCCTTCAAGAATATTCCTAGTTGTTTTGTTACTTTTTTGATTGGAAAAATTTAAATATTAATTAGAGTATCGATCTCTATAACTAGGGTTTTTAATTGATATTTCGTCTCGGTCCATTCTTTAATAAAAAATAAATTTGCGGACAAAACTTGCGGACTTTTGGAATGATACAGAAAATGAAGCGGATTAAAGACTTGCGGACTTTTTTGAAGGATATAAGAAATAAACCTTTTTTGCTTGTAATATTTTGTTCGGTTTTTTTTCTAACGGAATTTTTAAATTTTTGACAATAATTGGAAAAATTAACTGAACAAATAAATTAGAATCTCAACAAAAATATTGTAATTTATTATTATGTGTTTATTTTAATTATTGAAAAAAAATTTTTTTATTAAATTTTAATTTCTTTACTTGTCTATTTTTACAAGGAAATTTTTTTTTCTTTATTCTAAATGTCTAAAAAAAATTTTTCTTAAATTAAGGCGAAAATATTTAATTAAAGATTCAGTAATGCTTATTAATTTATTTTTGTTATTTTGCCTTGTTCTGAAACTTTGCTCAACACAAAATGATGATGATAATCTTGTTGGGAATTTAATTGATTCGAGATCTTCAGGTTTTTAAAAAAAATTTTTTTGGTTTAACCTAAAAATTGATCTTTTGATGGCTTTCTGTTCTGTTTTATTTCTAAGGGTATCCAATTTATCCTTTTAATTATATTGCTTTTCTAATGAGAATCCGTAGTAACAGTTGTGGTGCAGTGGTATCGATACAGACTGCGCTGTTTTTCCAGTAGAGTTCGATTCCTCTTTGGTCAAGGGTTCTTTTTTTCCAATTTATTTCCTCTGTAAGGACTTGAAAATTTTTGGAAACCTAAAAATTTTTCTAAAAAAAATTTTTTTAGTCGCAAGAAAATTCTACAAATGTTATCAAGGAATTGACGGGTCTACAACCACAGAATGTGTTGGAAGAGTTTGTATTCGAGTGACACATAATCAATGTTTTTTTAACTTTGTTTGAATTTAAATATTAATAATTTTCTTAGCTGGTGCAGACAAACTTTATTGCAAAAACTTTACTGAACCTAGCGATCCAGCTGTAGGAGAATGCATAAAAATGAGTGAGGGACAAATGCCTGGGCAAAGCGAGGTTTTTTTTAATTTTTAATTTAATTCACTCTGAAAATTCTTAATGAAATCACAAATTTACGGAAAGACGTGGGCATTTTTAATCCTAAAATCTTTTAGTGAAACAATCGGGCCTAAAGTTGATTTTTTTGAGAGGTTATTGCTCGAGTTTGCTTACATTAAAAATTTGACTTTTAACCCGTTATATAGCTATTTTATTAAAATCCTACAAGAACATTCATAGTGTAGTGGTAACACTTCCGACTACACTATATCTTCTATGAAGGTTCGATCCCTCTGTGTGTCAACCATTTTGTATTTTCATTTTTTCCCCTACAAAACTTAAGAACCTTCTAAAAATTAGTGAAAAAATTTTTTTAATAAAGGAAATGTGTGCTTGTGCAGGAGATTATTGTAATGGATCTCGTCGTTCCTTAGCTAGCCATTTAATTATATCTTTTTGCTTTCTAATTTTATGCCTTTCGTCAACAATTCTCTGCTCATTTTTAGTAGGTTTTTAATTTTTAAAACAAAAATTTAAATTTTCACAAAATTAGTACCGCCGCAATTCTAAAAAATATTTAAATACCGAAAAGGAAGTTGTCGAATAATTAATTTTATTTTTTTCTAAATTTAAATTTAATTTTCTGTCCTCCTCTAAGACACCAAAAAACCTCAAAATATGAGCCATATATTAATTTTTTGTATTTTTCAATGAAATCTATCTTTCAATGTTTTATTTGGCAAGAGCTGCTATAGAATTTTTTTAGTTTATTAAAATTTAAAAAACTTTATAAATTTGGAGGAAAATACTCGTTCTTTTGACTAGGGTTCTCGGTCATGGGAGGGACTCTCGCCAATTAACCGACAAAAATTTAATTTTTTGTCTACCTAACCCAAATTTTTAGCAGCTATGGAATTTTAAATTTTAAAAAATTTCATAAATTTTGAGGAAAATACACTATCCTGCTTCCTGCGAGGGGAATGAATGACTCGTTCCACAAACCCCAAAAAATCCATTCTCTAGCAGCCCTCCTTATATTTTCTCTTTATCAGCTCTCTATTTACTTTTTAATTACCTAAATTATGTATATCACTTAAAAATATATCCCACACGTGATATCTAAAAGCATTTATTGCTAACTATTTTACCAAATATATAAAATACCAAAGACACGCCTTTTTTAAAAATTATTTTTTTTTATTTCGGCAGCTTATATTTACTAGTAAATAAATTTTTTTAATTAAAAAAAGAAAAATAAAATAATAAAAATTTTCAACTTGTACTACTAGGACATAATAAATCGGCAATAAATTGCCATTCATACATTGTATTGAATTCGGGAATTAATGAAGTTATTGAAGACAGTGTTTTTGAGAATTTCTAAAAAAAAATTTTTCGAAAAATTGTTTAGAAAAAAAAATTTTTTTCAAACCTTAATAACAGGCAAAAACCCAAGTAAATTATCCATTCTATCACCTCTAATATCCAAAGAATGTATTTCATACCAACTTTGTAAATCATTTAAGGCACGTTTTGAGGCATTTTCGATTATTTGAGCATTTCCAGGGGAGACATTACTATTTTCGTAAATATCCCAAAATAGTAGGAGTCTTAAAGAAATAAATTCGCCTAAATAAAAAATTTTTAAAGAATATTAAAATTTAAAAAAACCAAAAGTTAGGCCAAACTCAGCCATTGTTTGAATTAATTCTTCAATTATAGACAAAAAGGGGTCATTAAACATCCTAGAAAAATTATTTTTTAAATAAGATTAGAGGGAAAAAGGAGTCTAAAATCTAAAAATGAGGTCATATAAGGATGTCCGCAATCCAAATCCGAAAGTTGAATTTTTTGCAAAATCCGCATGTCTCGGTTGCGGACATCCCCTCTCAACCAAACCTCTAAATCTAAAAATGACAGGGCCGCTACAATCAAAAATGATTTTCTTGCAGAATCCGCAAGTTTCGGTTGCGGACAACCCCGGCCTATACTCCTTAATGAAACTCTTCACTTACATTTCTGCAGCTTTCAGTTTTCTCATTTCCGCCCCTCCATTTTCATAATTAACATAATTAGATTGTTGATTTCCACAATATAAACTTTGTCGATGTATATAACTTCCATTAGGTAATAAAATATAATCAGTAAATCCTTGCTCTAATGTATAAATTAAAATATCTAATAAAAGATATTTTGGAGCAAAAGTTCTTAATAAACGAATCTATAAAATGAGAAATTGAAAAAATAATTTTTAGAAGTTAGGGTCATAAATCATCACACTAAAAAATATTTTTTGTTTCTCCCTTTATAATTCTAGTAGGATTGTCGATCGGACCAGAAGGACTGAGGATATTCTTCGGTCCAGTTAGGAGAATCTTCAGATTGATATCTGAAGATTAAATTACGGATATCTGTCTGAAGATTCTCCAAAACCCAACCCTGAAATCAATCTCCCCCTCCTATAATCCTGTAGAATTAAACTAACAATAGAACCTTGTCAAGTGAATGTGCCAAAGTCTCAAATTCATCTAACTGTTCAATCCATTCAAAAAGTAAAACCATCTGAACTTTATTGACCTAAAATATATTTTTATTTCGAGAAGAAACCAGGTTCCCCCAAAAACCTGACATAAATCATCAACGGTTGCCATTTTTGATTGTTGCCCCCTTTGTTGAGAACAAAGCAGAATTTGTTCTACAGTTGAGCAAAGCATTGAGGAGCGTCTATAACGTTGACAGAAATACCATTCAACAAAGCGATCGAGGGGGTGGGCAACTTGTGGACTATTAGCCAAAGAAGAACTCATTGAACCGAGAAATCGAGATTTTAGTTGAGGCTAGAAAAATATTTTTTGCGGATTTTTCGAATTTGCGGACGAAATTTTTGCGGACAAAAAATAACAAAAAAATTTACCGAATCAAGAGATTTTGCACTGTCAAAAACATTAGCAGAGAGAAAAGGGCTGATAGATGGTTGTGAAATGGTTGAAGAATCAGCACTAAGGGAGGATTGAGGACCTAAAAATTTTTGACAAAAATTTTTAAAAAGAATTTAGAGGAAAAAAACCTGAATTACTTTTAGCAGAGTTTGTAGTAAGGCCTAACAAGTCTTTTACTTCTCTTCTAATCTTAAAAAAATTTTTTAAAAAGAAAAAATCAAAAAAATTTACTTGGACAGCAGACCGATCCATTCCAACATCACAACATTTTTGTAGCCTACAATACCGGCAAGCACATCGGGCATCTTTTTTAAAATAAAAATAAATTTAAAATATACTTAAAAATAAAACTTTTGTTAATTTCGCAATGCCCTTCACGTCGACAATGAAATTGAAGATTAAAAGCTACTGCCCGACGGAAAAATGCATTGCCTTTTAAATTATATTTTTTAAGGTTTTTAATTTATTTTTACATCCTCTACAAGAAAGAACACCATAGTGATAACCATCAGCCCTATCTCCACAGACTGAACAGAGTCCTATACCTTAAAAAATTCTTAGATAAATTAATTTGTCCTCTTAATTTTAAGTTACCTGGCTCAACAAGTTCGTTCGGATTAAAATACATTTCAGTCCAAATTACACTTTAACAGTTTAATCCTTCAAATTTTTAATAGAATTTTAAAACAATTATCTATAAATCGGTTGAACAGACCTCTGAAAAACAAAATTTTCGAGATGAGATTTCAAAGTTTTAATTTCGAATTGGAGGAGAAAGAATATGCAAAAAAGTGAGAGACAGTTTAGGGAACGAAAGAAAATAGAAATAGAAAAATCATGCCCATATTTGACCAATACCATATTTTACCAGCAAGGGTAAAAATCCTCGTTTGTCATCGTAGCCTTATTGACAAAACGTAAATTTTTACCCTTATTGGTGAAATGTCGTTTTGGTCAAATATGTTTTAGACAGGAAAATAACTTTTTGATACTCAACTGTCTATTTTTGAGTAAAATTGTAAAATGTCTAGTTGGTAAATGTTAAAATGGTAAAAGTCGTAAACTCAAAAGTGATTTTTTTAAACGTTTAGGTAAACATTTCCTCGATTTGCTTTATTTTTAATTAATTAATTAATGAATCAACAACCTTATTTTTCTACATATATTCAAGATTTGGAACAGGCTAGATAAATTTTGATATTTTTTAAATTTTATTAATTTAAGGATCCCTTTGATGTTGTCGACTTTGTGGAAAGATTAGCTTGGAGAATGACAACAGGAATGGAAACTGTCGACGCTGCCTTTCTTAAAAATAAATTTGAAGAGGAAATTGGAAGTCTTCAATTGCTTAGTGATCAATTCCAGGTTTATTTTTTTTTTGGAAATAATTTTGAATAAATAATTGTAGAATAAATTAACAACATTAGAGCAACAACAACAACGAGACAAAACAAATTTTTTGGATTCACTTCAGCGACTTTATGATAAAAATTCTGAGGGTTTGGAAAGATTAAAGGTTTATTTTCTTTACTTTATAGACTTTTCCTGTCGATTTTCAGCAATTAGATTTAATAATGCAGACAGTCTCCGCTAAAGTTGTCCATCTGGGTGACCAATTGGAAAGTGTAAGTCTTTAAGAAAATTTTAAATATCTTCAAGAAAAGGTCCACGAACCTAGAGCACGGGCTTTTGATGCGCTCCAAATGATGAGACATTTTGATGAATTTTTGGCTGAACAACCTTTGCATTCGGCTGTTTTTACTGATCCTGACAGGGTTTGTGGGACTAAATGTCACTTTAATCGTTTTAAATTTAGTTACTCGAATCAGCTGAAATTATTACAAAATTATCGTCTATCGCTCAAGAATTGGACAAAAATAAATTTCAAACAGTTCAAATGAGAATTTCACACAAATACGATGAAATAGAACAATTACTAATCGAAGAATTTATTCGTTCTCATGACAGGAAAAGAATGAGAGAAATTGCTGTTATTCTTTCTGAATTTAAAGGTTTAATTTAATAGATTTTAGTTTAGATGTGGTGTGGTGTAATGGTTAGGGTTTTTGTCTGTTGGGGTTTGGGGTAGGGAGTTCGAGCCCGACGGTGGATTCTTAATTTTGTCAAGTCTTTTTTTGTTTGTTTCTAGCTTTTTTATTTTTTAAAATAAATTTCAGGATTTTCTCGTTGTGTTGACGGCTTTGTAGAACGCATTCAAAGCACTGCTCCACGTTCAGAAAACGTTTTTACCGACATTTTTAAACTTTGTGAAAAGGCAAAACCAATTATTGAAGAAGTCTTTCCTCGAACACAATTTGTTATTTCAAAGCTTTTGCTTAATGTCTTTCATGGGAAATTACAGGTTTATTTTTTAAAATTTTATGATTTATTTCTAATTTTTAGGATATGGTTGTAGCAACACTTGAGGAGACGAAAGGCAATCCGGAACTTTATTTGACTAATCTTTATGAACTTTATTCAAAGTTTTTTTTTTAAATATTTTTCTATAAAAATATTTTCACAATTTTAAAGAACATTTAAATTACAAGGAGCTTTACGTTCCCTTTTTCCAACAAATTCTGTTGATCCACAATTTTTGCCTACTTTGAGTCAATCAATTTTTGGACCTTTCTTGGTCACTTATTCAAAAATTGAACACAAATTTATTGCGGAAAAGTGTACTTTTATTTTGAGAAAATTTTATGAATCTAAAGGACATCAAAAAAGGAGTATTCTTTCTAGCGGGTTTGTGGTTTTTTAAATTTTTTTGAAAACTAAGGGAAGATACTTTTGGATGCAAGGACAGGGATGTTCATGGGTTTAGAAAAAAGTTGGTTCTCGGGTTTTCAACCTTTTCTTCTGACCGGAAAAACGTCTGGATTTCGGGTCGGTCAGTAGGATATGTATTAAGAGGGTAAAAGTCGTCTTTTGGGTCAGATTTTTGAAAATTTCGCGAGTGGGGTATCGGGTTTCGGATAACCCCGTGATACCCCTAATGTATGGGGCAGGCCCGTAGCCAGGATTTTTTTTCGGGGGGGGGGGGGGGGGGGAAATTTTTTTGCGCCAAATTTTTGGCGCCGAAGGCGCCAAAAATTTTTATTTTCAGCGCCGCAGGCGAAAATTTTTTGAATTTTAGAAGGTCGTAGGCCAAAAAAATTCACTCTTTCGGCGCCGCAGGCGCCGAAATTTTGATTTTCAGCGCCGCAGGCGAAAATTTTTTGGATTTTGGACCTTAAAAAGCCAGATTTCTTCCTTTTTTAGCGCCGCAGGCGAAAATTTTTTAAATTTCAGAGGCCGTAGGCCAAAAAAATTCACTCTTTCGGCGCCGCAGGCGCCGAAATTTTGATTTTCAGCGCCGCAGGCGAAAATTTTTTGGATTTTGGACCTTAAAAAGCCAGATTTCTTCCTTTTTTAGCGCCGCAGGCGAAAATTTTTTAAATTTCAGAGGCCGTAGGCCAAAAAAATTCACTTTTTTTGCCCCAGCCCTTCCCCAAATTTTTTCCTTTTTCCCATTTCGGGGGGGGGGGGGGGAATTCCCCCCCTCACCCCCCCCCTGGCTACGGGCCTGGTATGGGGATAATCTTCGGGCTTGTTCTAAAGAAAATAATTTTTTTTATTAATTTTACATTTTAGTCTTCAAGACCTCAAAACTCGTCTTCTTAATGCAGAAGATTTTGGTGGCGAAACCTTTCTTTCAGAAATTATTGCAATTAACATACTCCAAGAATTTAAGAATGCTTTTATTCGTTGCACCACAGTTTTGAGTCTTTTTTATTTAAAAAATTTTTTTTTTCTTTTCCAAAGCTCTGTAAAAAGAGCGAATCTTTGGAGTTAATAACAGCTTTTTATGATATGTTACTCAAATTTTTATATTCTGAACATGTAGAATATGCAATTGATTTGGGTTTGGCATGTATTCCCTTGTCAGAACCTAAAACAGAACCTTCTGGAAATTTTTTCAAAATAATCCAACAAAGTTCGGCAATTACACATTTATTTGCAAAATTGTTTGATGATAGTATACATCCAGAAATTAGGTTTCTTTTTTATTTTTTGTAAAAATAGGTTTTGTGTGTCTGGGTTTGGATTTTATGTCACTGTAGATTAGAAAAACTTTCTCCCAAAAAAATTTTTTAATTTTAAATCCAGAAAAATTTTTGTTTGAAGGAATCCCACCCACCGTCACCCATCATTTAGTTCTCGTTTCAAATACCCGTTCTCCCCCATTTTCCCAATAATCCTCCAAATTTTTATACATAATTCAAAAATAGGGATACACAAATAGAAGATTCGGTTTTAAAGAAGCGTGACCAAACCCTTCGTAACGTTGAAGAAAGAATAAATATTGGTGTTAGACGGCAATTAAATGCTATAGTTGCCTATGTTCGTTTTGTTTTTAATACAACACAAAAGAAATCTGATTTTAAACCAGAAGAGGATTCTAATGAAATTAGCACTATATGTTCTAATGTATTTTTTTTTAATTTTTTTTCTTGCAAAAAATTTTTTAGGCCTGTTCTCTAGTAATTAAATATCTTAACAAAGTTGTCCAAAATTCTGAAAAATGTGGAATTAAGGATTGTGTTGATGGAGGCAATTTACAAGTTGTACTTTCTGAATTAGGCGAACATTTATACAATACAATGTTAACGCATATACTCTCGTTTGGCTACAATTTGCCTGGGGCGATGCTTTTACTTTGTGATATTAATGGATATAAGTATAGATTTTTATTGTATCTTTGGGATTGAGGGATAGGGAGGAACGTACTTAACGTACTTAACATTTGCTAATCTACTTTAAGATTGTCTCGAAGACCCTGGTTTTAAATCTTGAACATCCTTTTAGGTTCGAAGCAGTGCCTACGTTCAAAATTACCCCCAAGATCCTTAAGGCCGCGTGTTCACTTTCGGCTCGTCAAGGTGTTCCGAAACCTATTTTGGGTCGTCCACGATTTAATTATACTGAAAATGAAATTGTAATTGTCGGGTAGACTCTCTCCTTAAAAATAAATATTCTGATTTATTTTTGAAGTGTCGCGAAAAATCAAGAAAATTTTTTTTGATTTAGTTAATTTTTCTCCTTAATTTTTAATTTTTTAGACGTTGTATTAGTTCTTGGGGTGTTCCTGAACTCGAAAAGAAGTTTAACAGTTTACATGCTTTAGCTAACCTTTTGGTTGTTGTTCCAGAAAATTTACCAGAAGCTTGTAATTCTCAATTATTGGTTTGAAAAATAAATTTTAATTAAAAAAAAATTTTTTTAAGAAAAATGTAGATCGTCATTTAATGAATAGTTTTATACAATTACGTCATGATTACAAATCCGCAAAACTTTTTTTGAATAATTATTAGGTTTTTACTTTTTTTGGATATCCCTCGTCCTTTCCCCTCACCCCTAGTTTGAGTATTATGCTATTCTTTCTGGGAAGTACATGGATATCCGCATCCGATATCCGAACAGGAAATTTTCGGATATTCTGTCTTTTTCGGTGCTTTCCTTCCTTCCTTTTGCCTATCATTTATTTTCCTCTATGTACAGTCTAAGGTTTTCGGATCCAAAAAAGTAAAGGATATCCGAAAATTTTCGGTTCGGATATCTGCTCCGGATATTCGTGGATTTCCCAGAATCAGCCAACCTTTTGAGCACTCGTAAAGGAAAAATGTTATTATTGCTTGACCAAATATAACCAAAAATTTGGAAAAAAAAGAATAATTGGATAACTAAACTGAGGGAGAGGGGAGCTGGATATCCAAAAGAATACCCAATTATATTAATATTTCTGTGTGATTTTTTAAATTATTTTTTTTTAAATTAAATAAATAATTTTTACTCTCAAATTATTTTTAAAAAATAAATGGAAGTCTTTTTTCCATTGAAAAAATTTTTTTCTTTTTATTTTTAAATTTTTTTGTGTTTTCTTTAAATTTTCTATAAGGTCCCCCTCTAATGACATTTTACCAGAATAGCAAACCAACTGACTCAACAAAACATTTTTCTATTCACATGAACGGCTCAACTCCCCTCAGGAATGGAGTAAAACAGCAACAACCTAGACATTCAATAATTTCAAATTTGTCTAGTAGAGATGAGCTGTTTGCTGATGATTTGCTTTATACTAGAGAAGAGAGGTTTTCTTTTTTGAATTTTATTTTTTAAATTAAAATTTTTTTCATAAAGTTTTTGTACTTACACACCGCTGAAGATTCTTGTGACGACATTCAATGGTTTGTGATTTTTTAATTTTGATACATGTTCTGCCCTTGGGTTTTTGTATATTTCTTAGGCTTGTCTTCCATTATTATAGTAACTCCAAAAATCTTTTTCTAATAAATTTTTTCTTCCTTGTTAACTTTTGAGGATTCCTTGGGAATATTTCCAGTCCAAAATAGGTTAATCCATTTTCCCTCCCTTCCTTAAGGATTTTAAGAGAGGGACTTCTCCGCTTCTCAATGATGAGGGAGTCCTTCCCTTTCTTAAGGCTTTCCTTTCCTTCGCCCTTCTTCACACATTTCCATTTTTTCACCCTTCCATTTGTTTAAAAATTTATTATTTTTTAATTTTTTTAACAGTGAATGGTCGACGACCTCCAACTAACTTGAGTGATTGGCTTTCTTTTGACTTGAATTCGCCTCCTGAACTGATTGTTATTGGGTTTCTTAAAATATTTTTTTTATTAAAAATTTTTTTAAAGTCTACAAGAAATGGACCTCGCTTTGGGTAGTTATGTTGTTGACAATAATGTGAAGGAGAATGAATGGTTATTTACTCTACAACGGAATTTGCCTCACACTTATCGAATGGTTTTATTTCTTTTTTAAATTCTAAAAAATTTTAATTAAAGGTCGAGTCCAGCCGCCTAATCGGAATTTTTATGGCAATTTTTTGTAAAAGAGGTTTGAAGATTTCCGTCTCCGATTCATTTATTTCTTCCATCCCAACTGGTTTTCTCAATTTGGGTAATAAAGGAGGTGTTGGAATTAGTATTAGATTGAATGATACTTCCATTTGTCTTATTAATTCGCATCTACCTGCGGGTAATGAACTGAACAAGCGCAACCAGGTTTGTTTTTTATTTAACGATGTAAGGTTATTTATTGGGTGTGTTGTTAATTAATTAAATGAGAAAAAGTTTTGTTGAATCGGTGGTGTATTGGTTAGGATTCTGTGTCTGCCCCCATTGTGTTATAGGTTTGACGCCTCGTGTGTGGCAATATTTTTATTTTTGATTATTTTTTAAGTAAATTAACAAAAAAATTAATTTTATTTATTTTTAAGGACTTTCGACTAATTTCACAAATGCGTTTCAATAACGGGTTTGGTATTTTTGACCACGATGCAGTTATTTGGTTTGTTTCAATTATTTAAATTTATTTTTTAGTTTATATTAGGTTGGGTGATTTGAATTATCGTCTTGACACCCCTCTAAGTTATGAAGAAGTTATTAGACGATTACAAGATCATAAATTTGCTCAACTTTTTTATTTTGATCAGGTTTATTTTTTTAATTCTCTTATTTTTTTATTCTCGCATTTTTAGCTCAAAGAACAGCAACGGCTTAGGGTGGCTTTCAATGGATTTTTTGAACAACAACCGTCTTTCAGACCAACATACAAGTTTGATCCTGGCACACACAATTGGGACACAAGGTTTTCTTTTGTAGTAAAAGTTTTATGAGGGTTTTCTTTTCTTTTTTTAAGTGAGAAGAAGCGAATACCTGCTTGGTGTGATCGAATACTTTATTGGATAAGAGATAAAAATGTTCGTTTAGAGCAATTAACATATTCATCTGCGGAGAAGGGTTTTTTTAAAGTCTTGAATTAAAATTTAAATTTTGTTTTTTATAGTTGTATTCAGCGATCACAAGCCAGTTCTAAGCCTTTTCAATTTGCATGTAAAGAAGATTGATCAAGACAAGAGAAATGCTGTATACGAACAGGTTTTTAAATTTCTTTTAAGCTTCTCTCTAGGGCTAACAATAAGGCTGGGTGATTAGCAAATCTCTATTTTATCAAAACTCCTAACCAGACTACGGGGAACATTCCAACTAGGGTAGGACGAGACCGTTTAATTCGAGGTTTATTTTTCCCTGTGGCTGACTTTTTCCTTCTCTCTTCTCTTTTTGACCGCCACAGGGAACAATAATCGAGGTTATTAAACGGTCTCGTCCCACCCTAATTCCAACAATAACATTGCTGGAGTACCCTTCCCTGTAATTGGAACAGATTTATTTCTTTGAAAGGTATTTTGATCGGAGAAGTTTTGTATAGACGGAATTTTACCCTGATATGGCCCTGGTTTTTTCCTATTATCAGAGTCAGAAGAATTTTCTGAGCTCGCTGCCTAGGACTTTTTCTTCAGTCAAGGGTTTTCTCAAAATCACCCGGACCCTTGAAATTTGTTTTGACTTAAAAATTTTTTTTCAAAGTTGCTTCGTGAAGTTGACAAGAAACAAAATGAATTGTTGCCACAAATATCGTTATCACAAACTGAGGTTTCTTTTAATTATCAAAATTTTTTAATTAAAATTTTTAAAGTTTAATTTTGGTACAATTTATTTTGATCGTCCTGTAGTTGCTGAATTAACAATTAAAAATACTGGACAAGCACCAACACATTTTATTTTTAAATCTGCAAAAATGGAAAATGAAGAACACGAGAAATGGCTTACAATAACTCCACAATCTTCGTTTTTGGATGTTGGGTTAGTTTGGAAATAAAAATTTTTTTAGTAAAATTAAAAATAATTTTGGGATCAAATGTCGTTTTTTTGTAAATTAAAATTTTTTGGAAATTTTTTTTGAAAAATTTTTTAGAAGACATTTCAGAAGACATTTGGTCCCAAAATTATTTTTCGTATTTTTAGGGGATCAAATGTTTTAATTAAAAATTTTTTTACATTTAAGTGTAACAGTAGAAGTAACCCTTCAAATATTAGTGTATGATGAAAATGCTTGTAATATTCAAACAAATAATACCCAATTAAATTCAATTTTAATTGTTCATTTAAATGGTGGAAGGGATTATTTTATTGTAATTGATGCAAGGTATTCAAGAGAAGTTGAAGAAGAAGATCTTATTTCTTTTTGATTAAAACAACGAAAAAATTTTTAAATTTAAGGGGGCGGTCCTTAAAAAATTAAAAAATTATTTTAAAATTGGGGGAAAAATTAATTTTTGGGATCAAATGTCTTTCTAAAAATTTTTTAAAAAATCGAAAAAATATTTTTTCGCGTCAGAGGACCGTGCCTTTTTATTAAAAATATTTTTTTGATACTGCTATACTCCATTCCTCTCTTCTCTTCATCTTCTATTATTTGTAGATATTCGGTATTATTTTCCCCTTTACTCATTATGACTGTAATATTCCCCCTTTTAATATTTCTAGCATAATCTATTTGAAGCCCAACTCCTTTTTGACAAAAAAAACATTGAAAATTAGGAGTTGGGCATTATTTCGTCTAAATAGTTTTATTGTATTTGTTCTACTCAAGGCCTCTCATCCCATAAAAAATTTATTTTTTCAAGACCTCGATAAACTACCAAAAATGTGTTTAGTTTAAATGTATTTCATAAAAATAAGGATTTCTTGAGAAAATAGAATTAAATTTCATAACCTATTCAAAAAATCGATACTAATCGATAAAATCAATACCAATCGATATATCGATTTTTTGAAAATTATTTTCAAGAAACGGGAGATAGAAATTAATTGACACCCGACTTTGTAACCGATATGAAGACTATGTGGAACATCTCAAAATCTAAATCCCATTATGATAGGACATTTTACCAAATATTTATCATTTTAACTTTTTATCAATCGGTATAACAACACAACAGTAAAATATTATAAATTCCAACTTCTTTTTAACGTTTTCGATGGAATTCAATCGTGTTTCTACGCTTCCAGCATTTGCGACGAGATCCGCCGATTGTCTTATTATAATTCTTGCCCTTTCCAAGACCACGACTCTTACGCCCAGCAGATGTAAGTCCACGTTGTTCACGATGTTTGTGCACCGGTTTTGTAATCCATTGGGTGTCAGGATTGCGGCGAATGACCTTTAATTAAATGAAAAATATAAGAGAAGGAAAAAACAAAAGAAAAATTTAAAAACGTTAGGGGGAGTGTAAAAGTTAGTCCCATTCACCTTAAGAATTGCTTTGATTAAAATAAAAAATAATTGGACCCGTAGGATTCGAACCTCTAGCCATTAAAGCATGAAACCTAAACCTATCCGACTACACCAAAGTGAAGAACAACAAAGCTGTTATTTTTCAAGTTATATACACATAAAATTACCAAAAGAAATCTAAAACAAACCTTGTGTGACGGATCTATCAGAATGACTTCATAAAATTTGTATGTTGAATCCTGGCCAACCCAATAAGAGTTTAATACGCGGAGAGAACCACAACGACGTCCAACACGCGCCTAAAAAATATAAACATTAAAAAGAAACTTTTGTAAAGGAAAACCTCAGCAATTGCTTGGTGGCTTCTAGCATTCTTCAATTTATTGACTCCGTGGGTTTTCGGCTTTCCGTATGTTTGTCCTTTAGTGACTTGACGCTTACGACCTCCTCTACGGACACGAACACGGTAAATGACATATCCTACAAAAATAGAAAGATACGTGTTGAATGGATAAGGAGAGAGAGGTGGGATATCTGACCAGGTCTTTAACTATGGGAGAAAGGGGTATGAACCTGTACTTGACTAACACCCACAGACTCCGATGAAACTTTGTCGCAAAGCTAGAACTAAGTCAAAATTGGAGTGAAATTGTGGAAAAGAGAAAGTCTGCCCATTATGCACATATTAAGAAAAAAGAATTATTGGGGAACCAAATAAGTCAACTAGTCGATATGTTCTAGCCATACTGAACGTTAGGGATTTCAGACTTAACCCTGAGAACATGCCTCGCAGAGAAAATGACCGCAAACGAATCCAGGCATAGATCATAGGACAGGAAAAGCTTTTCACAAACCCGGATTAAAAGGGAGGGAGAGCCCGAACTATACATCGATTATTAAACCTTGTTTAGCTTTGTATCCAAGTCGACGAGCCTTCTCCGGACGTGTTGGACGAGGAACACGGTGGATTGCAGTCAATTGCCGGTATTGCCAACAACGAATACGTAGAAGGTAGCGCATAACATCAGACTGCTTCTTACGCCAAATTTCTTGCATATACTTGTACGCTCCCATTTTTTAATAAACAAAACTTTAAAATGAAGCTTTAATTAACTGAAAAACAATGATAAAAAGTTAAACGAGAAAAGTAAATTGATTAAAAGTTAGACGACAGAGATACAACACTATCTCGTTTTTACCACTTTACTTTACCAAAATGACATTTACAAAATAAAAAAATAGACAAAATGCCAATTCTTAGAAAAATTTTAAAATCAAACGGAATGACACGACAAAACGGCACACTGAATAAAATCGGCAATTCGGCACATTAGAAAATGTCCAACAGAGTAAATATATTCATTCCGTCACAAACGCTACCAAGGAAGAACCTGTTAAGGACATTAGAGTCTGAAAAGGAAAAAATATATTTCAAAGTTTTAACTTTTCTTATCAAATTTTTATCATTCATCAATATTTGTAATTTACATATTTATCAATTTTAATTAAGAATAACATGAAAAACATCAATTGGGAATGAATGCAAAAACAAGAAAGATCAACAATAAATTTAAAAAAAACATAGCAAGACATTAACAAGAAAAATCTGAGAGACAAAATTAAAACAACAGAATTTTAAACGAATTCTCTTGTTTTTCTTGTTTGACTTGCTCTAAAATAAATTAAATAAAAGCAGCCTAGAAGATCAAAGAAATTTTCAGACTCTAATGTACCTCACTAGGGAAAATTATCTACATGGGACACGTCATCATTTTAGGACATAACTTTCTCAATTCTCGACTTATCCGAATAATTTTTGTATCAATCGAAAGCTCTTAAAACGCGGATTATTTTATCTAAAAGGATCTTTCCAATCAGATTATTAAATAAAAAGTTAGAGCTGATTAAAGACAGAAAATCACGACTGCGCGCATTTAGCTGTCCACAACTTTTTAAGAAATTTTCTGATCAGATCGATTCTGATAGATAAAATACTCCTTACATCCAGAGCTTTCAATTGATGCAAAAATTATTCAAATCGGCCAAGAATAAAAAAAGTTATGCTCAAAAATAGAGCCCCGTGTTAATAAATCCACTAGAGTCCATTAGACTTTCTGTGTATCTTCTAGGCTTCGAAAAAAAATTTTTAAGTAAAAAATAAATATTTTTTGTATAAATTTTGCGACATTACTCCTTTGCCAGGAGTATTCTACTTCTCTTTTCTTTAAAATTTGTACACTTTGCACGAATTGGCCATCGTTGAAATAAATAAAAGCATTGTGAATAAATTAAATTACAAAGAGATTTTACTAAATTAAAATAAAAGGGATATTTGGGATATTTGAGTCTAGGCTATAATTAAATAAAAATCAGAACTTTTTCCAAATCAGAATTTATTCTGGAAAAATATCAGAACAAAAATCTGAATTTGTTCTAAAAAATATCAGAAAAAAATCAGAAAATGTTCTGAAACCAGAATTTACTCGTTAAAATCGGAATTTATTCCGAAAAAAATCAGAACAGAAATCAGAATTATTCAACAGCCGAGACTCAAACAGATTCGATTAAAATTACAATGAAATTTTTTTGGTATAATTAACAAACAAAAAAAAATTTTTTATGTGAATAGAACGGCGAGTTTTTTTAAAAAGAAAGACACAAAAAAATCAAAATTTAGAGAGAAAAATTACCAGAAAATTATTGCAAATTTGAAGGGATTGGCTCATTTGGAATTTGTTCCTCAATTAATTTTTTATTTTTATTTAATAAAGGTTGGGATTGAAATGAAGTATAAATATTTGTTGAAGGAGGATTTTGTTGTTCTAAATTACATTTATAATTACCTAGTAAAAGGGGTAATGTTGTTGTTGTTAGACTTGTGTGGAAATAACATTGACAAAGGGGAGAAGAACTGAAAATTTAAATTCTGATTTAAAATTAATTCTGATTTTTATTTTGAAAGGAAATTTGGAAATCAGAATTCTGCAAAAAATTCTGATTTAAAGAAAATTCGGTATTCCTCGGTTTCTCCCCCACATGTCCGCAAATGTTTGTCCGCATCAGAAAAAAATATGCGGACAAACACTTGCGGACATTTGGGGAAGATAACCGAAGAGTACCGAAAATTCTGAAAATTCTGAGGAAAAATTCTGAAAAATTTTTTTCAGAAGTTTGAATAATTCTGATTGTTAAAAAATTTTTTTGTCCGCAAAAAATTTGCGGACAAAAAATTTCTTTCCGCAAATTTCTTTTAATTTTTTAATTCCCTCCTTTTTACCTCTGTGTTATATCAGAATGAGGCACCCAATGCCTTATACACCAGTAAATTAAATAAGCAACAAACAAATAGGCAAGTGTCATTGCACACAAAATTAATAAAAATTTGAGCAAATCTATAGGAAATATTGAACGCAAAATTAAATCAGAACAGAGCGGTAACTTGAAAAATAATTTTTTTTAAATTAATTTATAAAATAAAAAAAGAAACCTTTTCTCGTGGTAAAATGCTGCATTGAGCCTTAAAAAATTTTTTTTAATTTTCAAAAAAATTTTCTGTCCGCAAAAAAATTTTTTTCAGCAAAATTTTTGCGGACGTATTTAAATAAATAATATAAATTTTGAATATTTTGTAAAGTTTTGTCCGCAAATTTTTTGAATATTTTAAGTTAAAATTTAAAATTAAACAAACAAACTTTATTCATCAATTTCTCAGCAGAACCAATTCTGTGTGCTTCTACCAAAGCTTGTCCAAAATTCATTTTTACTCTTTGAATAATACAAGCACGGGTAGAGAATAAAAAGGGTAAACAAGCAAAAGAGAAAGCATCGAGAACACCTACCTAAATTTTAAAAAAATTAAAAATGTCCGCAAAAATTTTTTTGTCCGCAAAAAATTTGCGGACAAAAATTTCTTATCCGCAAATTTTTTGCGGATAAGAAGTTCTTATCCGCAAATTTCTTTTAATTTTTTTTCTAGATTCCTCCCTTACCAAATAAATATGCCACTGTCTGATTGCACAATTTGACGGAAGAATGAACAGAAAAAAGGAGCACGTCGAAAGAGAGGCACACAAAACAGCTACAGTCATCCAAATATTCTTTTTATACTTTAAAAAATAGGAAATTTTTAATTGAAAAAAAAATTTGAAAAATTAAAAAACATCGAGGACGCTGACCCCAATTAGCTTTAAAATTTTTTTGAATGTCCGCAAAAATTTTGTCCGCAAAATTTTTGCGGACAAAAATTTTTGTCCGCAAATTTTTTTTAAAATTTTTTAAAATTTTAAAAGTAATTAAAAATTTAAAATAAAAACCTCATTTAAATCGTGCAAAGAATCAAAAATTAAAATTTTTGTTTGTTTAGATTGAAAAGATTGTAAAAATTCAAATTTTGCAGAATACTCTTCCAAGTGAGAAAATAATTCGAGAAATGGATGCAGATACAAAATTTGTGCTATAGCTACAAAAAATAGTACCAACAGCTTGAGGCACTGGGCGAAGAATAACTAAAATTAAAAAAAATTTTTGAAAAAATTTTTCAAAATCCAACTGTGCGCCAAAATTTTTTTATAACGCGCCAAAACGCCAAAATTAATTTTTGCGTTTTATCTACGCTATAAAAATTTTTTGGCGCACACAAAAAATTAAAAATGCAAATGTGCGTAAAAGAATTTTCATAACGCAATAAAACGCCAAAAATTTGACTCATAAATCAAAAAATGGCAATCCCGGAGAATTGGGGTCCCTGCGGAAAAAAATCTTAAAAATAAGAAAAAGGATTTTTCTAGGGTAAAAAAATATGCTGATTACGAATCCGAGCTCAGATTTTGAAAAAGTCGAATCCCGAACCCGAACCAAATTTCGAACCCAGAACCCGAATTTCGAATATGCAAATGATAGCTCGTTCGAAAGAGCTCGTCGAGCTGCATCGAATGATACCAAAATCATCGCGATCGGACCTGTATCGACAAAGTTGTGACACAAAGTAAACCTCTGGGAGTACTGTAAGAGTCGTCGACTTATGTCATAACTTTGTCTAAGCTTGATCAATCACTGTAATTTTGGTGTCATTCGGCTCAGCTCGATGAGTTCTAGATTTTTTTGAAAGACTGGTCATTTTGTACAATGCTCGACGAGCTCTTTCAAACGAGCTATCATTTGTACAAACTTTTTTTTACTCCGAAATAGCGTCCCTACGGTTTTTCAATATTCAGGGGTCTGTATCTCGGTTCAATCCGGTCGGATTTCATTGATTTTGGTGTCATTCGACTCAGCTCGATGAGTTCTAGATTTTTTTGAAAGACTGGTCATTTTGTACAATGTCCGACAATGTTCGGGGTCAAAAATCCTGTTTGGAGGCAAAAGTCCGAATTCGGGTTCGGGATTCGACTTTTTCAAAATCTGAGCTCGGATTCGTAATCAGCATATTTTTTTACCCTGGAAAAATCCTTTTTCTTATTTTTAAGATTTTTTTCCGCAGGGACCCCAACTCTCCGGGATTGCCCAAAAAATTCTCTACCTGTTTTTGCATAAAACAAAGCAACGATTTCTCATTAAAATTCAATTTTGCAGTAATTAGCCTCCACAAATTTGGTTTTTTATCACTTGATGACACCAACAATTCTGGATCAAATTCTGATGAGAGAGTTGGTTGGTGTATTTGGTTGTGGAATTGTCGAAATTTTGATTGAAGAGAGGAAGAAATTCGAAGAGGAAGAATTCGGGACATTTTTTGGTTGGGATAAAATGTCCAAATCAAAGAAAATGTCAAAATGTCGAATTTCGGAAAGACAAAAAATTTCAAAAAAAATTTTTTTCGAATAGTTGGTGCTTTGTTAATGGAATGTAAAAAACAGCGAAAAATTTGTAGAGCCTTTCTAGCTGTAGAAAAAAATTTTTTTCCTAATTTTATGACGAATTACTATTTAATTATTGTTGTTTTTTGTTAGTTTTCTCTACCACTAATTTTAGAAATGGCCGAATAAATTAAAACAAAAATTTTTTGTAAAGCTAAAAATTAATTTAGGCATTTAAAGTATGGAAATTTGTCAAAAAAATTTTTTTGTCGGCAAATT